ACCGCGATGCAATCGTAAATTCTCGCTGATTTCCGCCTTTCTTCGAGCTTTTTCGTATCGCCGGCTCGCGGCTCTCCCCACCCAATGTTTTCGGGTTTCTTCGAGTCCTTCGGGACCACCTCGTCGTCCAAACAAACAGCTTTCTGAATTTTCCTCCGTGGCAGCTCCGGGGGAAAGAGGGGTGGAGATCTGGACTGGCCGCGCTCTCGTGAAATCGCGGCGCGGCTCGCGAGGGGAGAGAAGGGTGGTACAAAACAAGGTGTCCCTATCCGACGAAGATCGCGGGCCCCCATTCCTCCACTCTCGCAACCACCTACGACAGGACAGAAAAAGTCTGTCACGTCACAGCACACGGTATGCAATAATACAAAAAAATATTGAAAGTGTATAGAGAGTGTCCCAAAACTCTCGTAAGACCCGGAAATGGGGGTTAGCTGAGACGATTTTGAACAAGAATTTCGTTTGCAAAAATGGAGCCCCCGCCGACATCGGTGAAGAATCAGCTACCTCCAATTTCCAACTCCTACGCGAGTTTTGGGACGCCCTGTATATTATAATATTTGCAGAGTAAAATAAAGTCCTGTTTGGATTAAATTTGTATAGGTGCGTTTGCAAAGATCTTATTTTGCATAAAGATTCGCAGTCTATTACGTGAAATCTTGGTAAGTAGAGAAAGGGGCAACAAAGTAATTTATCAATGAAATAGATTCTCTGTTACAATAACTATAAATTAATATTTGAGTGACTTTAGAATGAAAGTTTTAGTCCCAATACATGAAAACAGATACAATATATGCATGCGCCTGTATAAAATTACAATAATTCCTTAAAATAATTATGCATTGAATATTCAAGCAGAGGTGAACGTCCTGGTTTAATCACGTTGATGATGGATCGCCCGAAATCACACGGTTGAGTAGAAATTCGTGAAATCTGAGAGGAATAGAACGAGGGGCAATACGCAAACTGAACCCAAGGGCCTGCGATCTTGATTATCCGTCGTATGACTAGCTCGCTGACAATCGCTCTTCTGTTTGCACTTATAATTACTGTTTGCGGAGCATTGTTCTTAAGCCCGTCTAGAATGGCACCCCAGTTGATAAGTTACGCGAAATCACCGTGGAAAGTTCCTCCGTTACGCCGGCGGAATCGACCGCGGGGTAAAACTCTAATGAAGGAGGTTACGAGGTTACTTCTGGATCCTGTGAATTATTGCATTACTCCCGTTAAGGGGCCGGGACGCCTACGTTTGTTAACATTCATGAGCTGTTTACGTGTAAACTTTCGTTTAGCTCTCTGGGGAAATGGGAGAAGGTGGCAGGTCGTCTTTGGGAAATTGGAATTTTGAAAAATGAATGCCACCGAGAGACTGAACTCGTTTGAAGAGTGAAATGAGTGGATTTAAAGTAGCTTAACAAGTGAAATGAGATCCTTGGACTTGTGCATTAATCTTGTTCATTTTAGACAGTATATCTGTGGTTGAATTTAAATGTTAGAACTTTTACCACTTATACCTTTCACATTTATCAATAAGAGGGTTTTTTTAAGAAAGACTTTAGGATTTTCTTTTTAAATAAAACACAAATGACATTTAATTTATATTAATATATTCACCATAACTGCAGTGACAAGTCTATTTTGTTGTAAAAAAAATCCTAGAGACACTTTTAATGAACCCTTTATAACCAAAGTTAGATTCAAAAGCATTCTATACAATTATTTTTTATATTACGTACATTCAAGTAACCTAATTCGTTCATGAGAAATACCTGCTAGTCTAATCGAGACCTAAACGAAGCAAAGGATAATTGACAAGTGCAAGAAAGACGCCTCCTCGAGAGCTCTAATAAAGACGTACGATTTATCTTTCTTTAAGGCCGATCGGACACTTCGATCCGCCGAAGACCGTTCCCATAATCATTTTAGACGCACATTAAGAGTTAGGGTAAACTGGAAACTTTAACGAACGGAGTTTTAAGGCGATTAACGTCCTCGAACTCCTCAAATATACACAGTTCTGGAGCCTGAACAAGCAAGTTCGCCAGGACAATCAGCTTATTCCCGGAGTTTCTTTTCACGATCCGATGTTTACACAAATGAATCTTCTATGAGACGACGGGCGATAGAAAAGGAACGATGGAAACCTGAAACCACTTTCTCTCGAGTATTTTAAACGAAAAACAATTGGAAAGAAGGAAAAAGAAACTCTTTGTTTTCAGGAATTAATTGCGAAGTTTAAAAGTGATAAGAGACCACCTCTGTTTCGCCAAATATTTCAGTTCATTTTGAGTTATTGAGTTACAGGATTAAAGTAGCGTATAGTCTGTTGAAATAAACATAAATTATAGTACCTTATTGGTAAGGTAGAATATTCTGTTGATCATGGTCGGTGTAGAGCCCTATTTCACGAAATGATTTATCGACAGAGTGATCTACAATGCCAACAGAGTAGCGTGTTCTATCCACTGTGTCTTCTGCATTACCGACTCATACGCTATCAACTCATATGCTTCGTAAATCTAGTGTTGAAACTAATCCTGCAGCGCGCGATGAGTACAGTTGTCGTTTCTGAAAAATTGTTATCAAAAGAAAAGAAAAGTTTTCACCAACAACCACTGGCACGTTTAATAAAACACGAGGTGTGTGCGCGCCATTAAAGAAGCAAAATTCGAAGTCAATGTCTCCCCTCGGGGAAGAGTGCGTGGAAACAGCAGTGAACTGCTAAAGTAATTGCCAATTAATCTTCATTAAACCTTTCCGCGCGAGTGCAGATGGCTCCTACGATAGAAAACAATTGGACATTGCCCCAAAAGTGTACAGTTAGTTTGAAAGTTGGCTCGGAAAGACTAGAAGGAAGCGCGATATAGGCAGGGGTCGGCTGGAACGGGTGTTGCCAGGCGTCGAGAAAAACCCCTCGGTTCGTCTCCCTCGGAAAGCTTAAATCGGCTTCATATCTCAGCCTCCTCCGACCCTCTTGTATCTCTAATCAGATCATTAAGCCCGCGGAGCGTGCGCATGAAGAAATTTGTCGCGAATGGCAACGAGTCGCGCGCGAATCCAAAGAAACGAATAATCGAATCAACCCCGGCCGAAGGGGTAGCACGACTCTTTTCCGCGGTGGCAATCGCTTCGTTCGGGCTTGTAGATAAACCTTTGGGTACACATCGAATCATTAGCTTACTGGGATGTAACATGGGGCGTTCTTGGAGTTGGTAGCTCTCTGAGTTTGGAATGCTTCCCCTTTGGAGACAATCTTCTCTTTGTGTCTTAGGTGGAAAGAAAATTCTCTGGGAGCATAAACTCGAAAATGTGGGAGGAATGTATCCTTTGGATTGTATGCTCCTCCTTGAAAAGTTTCTTGGGAATGCGAGAAAAACTTGGCAAATTCTCTTCTGTCTTCAGTCGAATTCTTGGTTTTTCTTCCATGTGATTTATTTTTGGCAAGGAATCCTGGAAATATCTGGCAACAATTGCTGGTCCATGAATAAGAGAACTCGCGTTTCATAGTCAGTGAGCATTTAAACGACATTGAGAAACATTTCTGACCTAGTTGCTGAGACTTCTTCGATGAAGAATGCCATAAATTAACACGCTCCTTTAGGAATATATTTTTGTTACTAAAACATATGTTCCTCAGGTAGAAAGCATTTATTAAAAATTCAGATCCATTCTAACTCAATTACAAGTTTTCTTCGGTACAAAATTCTCTGAATTAACCCTTTAATCAATAACAACGTGTGAGACTCGAGGTACAGAATTTGAGTCGAACATGAAAAATACGATCTTATAGTAAATCGTAAATCAAAGGGCTAAGAAATTTTGTTTGAAAATGTACAGAGAACTTCCTGTCGATTATGAGATGGCAAATAGAATTCTTAATAAATGTTTTATTTTGTACATAACGAACTAATTAATCGTAAAGAAACAAATTTCACGATAATATATAAAAGGAATTTTAGATGTGCATACCTTGTACAGGGTTAAATCAAATCAAGACCACCTTCGTTTTGCGTTTACAAGATTACGAGACCGCATCCTCGCTTCGGAACACCCAGAAGCCTATAACTGGCAGTTCAGGGTTAATAGAAGCAACGTTCGCACAACAGATGGTCAAACTTTAGTAGCATGCTCGACTCATCTTAGGGGATGAAACTTCTATGAAGTACAGTCACAACTGTCCTCCGAATTACGGTTACCTCTGTTCGCCACACAGCTGTGATAGTTTATTTTAGCTACACCCTTTATTTTAGATACATCCTGTGATCATTTCCAGTGTATCGTGCCTAAAATGAAATACAAAAAGATGATGGAAATGTAATTAATACTGTAAGAAGCAATATTATCTATGTACAAACCATTATTTATCGTAAAAAAGAATCGTTTCAAATTACTACGACTACAATGAATTTTTCCTGGGCATTTATACAACTCCTATATTTCTATAGTTACTTCTTCATATAATCATAATAATCATATGAATACAATAAATTATAAATGATTAAAAATTCACCTGTGCTGATTTTCCTACACATATAATCATCATAATATAATACAACAAAAATTAGAGACCTTATTAAACATCACCCAACTGTTCAAACCAAATCCGTCTATCTCCAAAAAAGTAAATCGAATTTACCCTCAACGAATTAACCACGTAAGTCGAGGATTCGTCGTACCATACCTAATCGCATAAACTCGCGACAAAGGATTCCCCTGCGACCCCTTCGTTTCCGAATTAGGAACACATCGTGAACGCTCCGGTCGATCATAAATATTTTTCCTAATTCCATTCGTCGACGGGGACACCCAGACTCGAGTATTAATATTTCGCGGTAGAATTGACACACTGAGAGCAATTTAAACGCACGTACGTACGCAATAGCGGTCACCCGTTTCTGCGAACAGGCAAAAGAGATTGAAGGAGTTGCTCGTTCAATTAGAATCTTTCCAACGGGAATTAAAATTGGACTGCTCGTTCAAGCGAATTTGATTTGTTTCAGGATGGAGGAGTCGTCCCGGGGGCTGTTGCAGCACAAGCACAGGGCCGAACAGCTGAAGCAAGAGAAGACTGCACTAACACTTTCTTACGAGGTAAGCCCTCCATTCGTGAGACTTCGAGCATCGATTATCTCGTCCAGTGTCCCTGAATCGCTTCTAATTAACTTGGACCATTTAGAGACGGTGTTTGTACACATTTTATTCGAAAGTTGTTACTCTAAAGTGTTTTAAAAAGAGGTTCACTTGTTTCTGTATCGTAGAATCGAGGCATTTTAGAATTCAAGCACTTCCGAATTGAGATATTGTAGGATTGAAACGATGTAACATTGAAACCTTCTACCATAGCAGCAGTTTGGCATTGCAGTTGATAAAATAGAGCATACTGTTAGTAAAACAGGGAACTCTGGCGGTAAATGCTGCCTGTTTTAACGACAGTGTGCTCTGCTTTGTCAACTATCGTCAATAAAGAGTACTCTGACGGTAAATGGGCCCTGTTTTAACGACAGCATGCTGTATCTTACCGATAAAATACCAAAGTTCAAGAAACAAATGTTTTTCCAATAAAAAAATTTAGACTTCGTGCACACGCAAGAGTTGGAGAGATTGAAAATCGAACTAACTAAACTAACTGATCTAACTAACTAAACTAACTACCTGCTGTACCATACTTAATGATTTTCCGCGACAAGACATTTTTTTTCTCCGAAAACCCCTTCATTGTTTTGTGACGCACTAAGACCCAATTGTAACGGAACATTTTGTTGTTACTACAGTAAAACCTCTTTATACGCACAAATTTTTATACGATAAATGCACAGAAACCATCCCTACCAGCTACGGCTCCTTGATGTTGTCTCTGCTAACCTAAATCTAATTTCACTTTACCCTTTACAATTTCGCAGCCATTAGCTCGATATTATTCGTGACGAAGGATTGTTCGACGCTTTTGAGTAGCTTCGTTTGTGAACGACCTAATAGCTTCCGAAATATTGGACCACATAAGTTTTGTCCTTCTGGATCGCTGAGATATCATACTGTGCGTCCTCTTCTTTATTTACTGTACTTCTCTACCTTCATTGCATTTCTCCTCCACTTTTCAAGCTGTGTAACGGGACATACTTATTCTGTTACCACCCACCCATTTCATCGCCTCACAGCATTTTTCACCATATAACGAGACATGAATTTCGGAAGTTCGAAAATAAAAAGATTTTCAATCTTAAAAAAGCCTTGGACTGCCCTAATATATACCTTCTAAAAAAAATCATAGTTTTCCCATAAAAATACAGTGATTCAGCAAACAGCCCCAGTTTGAAATCACGAATATCGGACCCCCTTATTGACATTCATAGAGCAGCATGGGCAGATAACACAGAGACTCCCTCGAGTCGATCGAATAGTCCAGTCGTTTACTGTTGCGGACTGTTTCTTTTTTAGAGCTGGGAAGTAGAAGCGCGATGACACTCGCGCAAAAAGGTCCCCCCTCGTCCAATAACAGCCGTCCTCGTACGGGCCAGCGGCCCGTTATTGTATTTCACTCCGAGTTGTCGTCCACGATTGTTCTTGGCAGCGGCACAAAGCGATCTTGCCAGCCGTATTGTCAGCTCGCGTGTACGTAATGCAATTTATTCCATCCCCTTACCGATACTTTTCAACCAAAAGTCGAGCGAAGGACGCGGGATCGAGTGGACACTCGATTCGCCGAGATTAAACAGTTCGGAGAAGCTATGCACTCGTCGACCGATCGCTGTTGAATCGTTCGAGTCTGGCGCTTCAATTAAGAGGATAGTGGAAAAGAATTGGAAAGAATTGGGCGAGGATAAATTGCAAATGAAACTTAAGAAGAGATTAACTTGGAGGGCTTAACATTGGGGGCTGGATTTAGAGAGAGTTTGCAAATGTTGAGTTTGAAGTAAAATTAGGAGAATATTTCCATGAATCGCTTTTCTCAAGAACTAAAGTCGATAAAATAGAGCATACTGTCGTTAAAACAGAGCATAATACTGTCAGTAAAATAGGAAACTTTGGTAGTAAGTGCTTTCTGTTTTAACGAGAGTGTACTCAGTTTTGTCAACTATCGTCAATGAAGGGTACTTTGGCAATAAATGGGTCCTGTTTTAACAACAGCATGCCCTATCTTGCCGATAAAGCACCAAATCCCCAAGAAATGAATCTTTTTCTAATGAAAAGAGCCTTGGGAGTCCCCAAGTGTTCCTTATAAGTTCTCAAAAACTACAAAGAAATCCTTTCCTGCTTCCGAAGGAATTCTTCTCTGCTGCTACTTCCTTACAATTTAATCGAACAATCATCATACAAGGAGCTCTTGGAGGCTCCTTCTCTTCGAGTCAGAAAAAGAGATCTTCCAGTACTCGAATTTGCGTCTCAATTAAAAATAGCCACGTGCACAGTGACCCCATCCAGGCAAACAGTTGCCAGAGAATTTTACAATTTCTGAGCTCACGCTGCGGACCCGCGCGCAATAACCGGCGGAGCTTCGGCCACGTGTTTGCCAACGTCCAATATTCCTGACTTAACAAAGTAACGCAGCCGCCACTGCAATGAGAAGGGAGAACAGTAAACGCTCGCGTTTACTGCGAACCCTTAGAATGTGCGCGCTATCTCGTTCACGGCCGGTTTGCTTCTAAAAGAGTCGTAGATTCAGAGACGAGGGGTGTGCATCACTGCCCCACGAAATACCGTTTATTATCGATCGTCACTCGATCCCCTGGTTCAATGTCGGCCACCCCACCGGCGCTAGACCCCTGAAAATCCCTCTGTCGGCCACGAGGAAGCTAGCACGCCTGCAAGAGTTCCTCTGTAGCTGTTCCATTTTACTTTCGATGCGCAACCCCTCGATACAACCATCCTCTGTAAACGATGGCTGCCGATCTTGCGTCGAGGAGCTACTTTCGAACTGCGTTCGATAATTCCGCGAGACAGTTGCAAAAGCACCGTTGAATGGGGAGTAATTGATCTTTGTTGACGAACAAAAGATTTTATTTGGACCGTGATGAACTTTTTCCGAATGGGCAGGCTTTTCACTGGTTTGAGCCCTCTTTGACAAGTCAACTACTAGAGCCGGGGAGAGGGGGCATTGGAAATGGTAGATGGTATTGTATGGTCATTTTCTGTGTGTTTTTCTTTTGTAGAAAAAACTAGGTTTATAATATTTTGATGCTTGATTGAAAATTGGGGTAGTACTTGGGTTATACTGTCTAATAGTATAGCGAGGAACTAGAGTAGTAGGATTGAAATTAAATATAGATTAAAACATTGTTAAAAAAAGATAGAACTCTATGTTATATCAATTATGCTACTCAAAGTGACTGTCTCGAAACAGCTACCTTAATTATGACTGTACCAATATATTTTCATCTTCTATTCGCAGCTAAAAGCTATCAAATTTTCTGCTCACCTCTGATACGAATTTGACGAACGAGGAGTCGCGTTCCTCATCCCCCGTAACTCGTCTGCAACCCCTCAAATCCAACTGACTACGTTCCACATTGCTTCGACGTTCAAGCTTCCTCGAGTCGTTACTCGTCGCGGTGACACCGCTTCAGAATTAGATTAGAAATTTCACGAGGCCGATGCGTGCAATTTGGAAACTCAGAAGCGACAGTCTGTCTTCCGTCGACGATAAATTACAGAGGCTGCGTGCGTGAACGCGTGGCTCGATGAGAAAAGACAGGGAAACTGCGAGGCGTCGAATGTTGCCGCGAGGGGGGTGAAACTCTAAGAAACGGCCAGTTTGTATTTTTATTTTCCCTCGAGCGAGATGACAGAAAATCGTTGCCCTCCCTTCACTTTCGTAAGAAGGGGGTATAGACATTAGCAAGGGCCGCCTGGCTGGCACGACTGTTATAAATCAGACACACGCACCCTCTATTAGCACCCCTGTCTCCGACAGGTCTCCGCAGCCCTAATTTAACGTTAAACGCCTTTCTGCTAATAACGGCCGTTCGCGTTATTAACCCACGCCGCGGGTTGCAGCGAACTCTTGCAAGAAAGTGCACGAGACGATCAAGAACCACCCTCATCCGTCCAGAAGTTCCGTAGGGACCCCTTACCTGATCAGACTCTGCTTCGGAACCTTGGTGAACCACTAGGTTGCTGACCCTGACCATTGAACTCTAAAACAACATTAAAATATTTCACTTTCTAGAAGACTAGGTATATTAAAATTATTATTTCCTCAGTATATATATATATATATATATGAAGAGAAATATCCCCTTGTTCTCATAGTCAGGCTATTGGTGCTATTTTTAGCAATTTTATGAAATAGAACAATTTTACCCAACTTAAGAATCAGGGGTGGACAAATATAAACACGTAAAAAGAACAATGGATCACCAGGAACCATTATTGAGCCTTAATGATAAATAAAAATTACTGATTGATACTGATTCGTAGTTTTTTTTTCTTTTTTTTAATGTGAACACAGGCACGCGTACATCAGTACCAGGCACAAATCTCGAAGCTACAGCTAGAGAACGAGTCCATGAGGGGTCAGCTGCGCGGTTTGGAGGTTGCATGCGCTGGTGAAGTGCACGCTGCGCTTGTGGCCCGCCTGGCGACCTTGGAAACGGAGCACGCCGCTTTGGCGCGGGACGCCGACGCCCAGCGTCGCCAGTACGAGCGGTGCTTGGACGACGTCGCCAACCAGGTGGTCCGCGCCCTTCTATCCCAAAAGGTTCATTGCTATGCTCTCGTTACCACGTCCTCGACTTCTCTCTCACTATTTCTCTTCCTCCGCTGACTCGTATCTAATCAGGCTTCTTTATTATTTAAACAGCAGCCTGAATAAGATTTTTCGTTACCCTAATAGGAAAATACTCCAAGTGTATTAACTTGTTTTGTGTGGAAAAATATAATCACTAAAGTCACCAGAACAATAGCTCTGATTTGTTGAAATGATATCATGAAACTCGAGATTTTATTTCATATATTCTTAGAATAAAATTATTATATAATTAACCCAGCCACTGCCAATTACGAAATATCTCGTAATTTAAATTGATTACAGTTACTCAAGGGATCAGCTTATAGCCTTTTGAGTCACGAATTATTGCAAAAGAAGATCGTAAATTTTCTTTTTAAATCAACAAACTTAATATCAATTTTTTGTATCAAAACAATAACCTAGGTTACACATCTATATTAAATCTTGGCGGCCAAGGCAAAACATTCTATATTTGCCTGGCAGTGAATGGGTTAATCGATAACACAATTAGCGTTTTAATTTTGCCTATCATATGTCAACATGTTATTCCTTATCATAATATCTATATTTTCGTAATATAATATCATATTACATATAGCATATAATATCTATATTTTTTCAAACATTGTTATCGATAAATATACAAGACAGCAAGAAGCAAGTTATTTACTTTTCTTAAATATCATATCATAAAAATGTATTTAATTTTATTTTGTAAGCGTAAGCAGTAAAATTATGATACACTTACTCTGTACTGTTTGACCCCTGCAAGGATACTGGCACTTAAGTATACGTTTCATTTTAATGTTGTTTGAATTATCGTAATATAGAATTAACCACTGAAATTTCGAAGATATATCACTGTTTTCCATATGTTTCATGCAGAATAATTCGTACCTGAAGAAGTTACCTAATTTTAACCACTAACAGTATGAGAACATCCAACTTTTCATAATTATATAATATCCGAATTTAATTCTTTTTGTTTGTATGTCTCCTTACCAATTATTCAATCGTGTCCATAAACATTGATCGATCTTCATCCTTAACATCGATCCTTCCCGATCCATCTGCATCCGCTGAGCTGCAAGATTGCAAGGCTGTAAATGTGTCTCGTTGCAATCTTAGACTGATTAAGTAAAACGAATATTTTCAACCGTAAATCTTTTATAACAAGACTTGAATATCGCAAAACGATTCCAAATATTCTAATATTTTCTCTATCGATCCAAGTTTCGAGTTACGCGGGACATACAAGTTTTGCATTACCTAAATCTACCAAGATTAAATGTACATCCACTTCGCTACTTGCAATCTATTCGTTTAACCGTCACTTAGTGTTAGCGCAAAATATATACTTGCGAGCTAGTGCAAGGTACACACTAGCGTTAGTCCGACTTTCCGCGTTGCGAGTGCTTATGCGTGTAAAAGAATCACACCCAATCTCTGAGCGTTAAAGTCTCCAGTCCTCGTTCTTTGTCCGCTACCGCGCTTTCTGTCATCCAGGTTGATTCCGAATGAGGAGACATGCTAATCGTTATGATTTCTCCCGTACGCAGGGTCTGAGGGAAGAAATCGGCGCGCTGCAGAGGCGTATTCGCGAGCTCGAAGCGCAAAATCGAGCGCTTTCGGGGTTGTTGGCACAAGCAGCGAGTCCTGGAAGTCCGTCAGAATTGATTCAAGGGATCCTCGAAGCTGGACCAGCGGCCGTGGTGGCTGCTCTTGGTTTGGATCCAGCTTGGGTTCCTCTGTCTAGGCCTCGGTCTCTCAATTTACAAATACCCGTCATGGCGGCCACGAAGTCTCGAAGAAACAGACCCTTGGGTACGCTCGTTAGCGATTTCAATCTGAAAGAAAACTTTGAAACTGGAATTATTAATAAAACCTTTGCTTTTATATTTATTTTAACTGTAATGTTTGCCTAAGAGTTAAGCTCAGAAATTGAACGTTAGGGAGGTAAAGAAATTTATTATTAAGTAAGAGTAATTGCAGGATAAGAAATAATAATGTCAAACCATTGGGAAGGGATGTTTTCCTGATTCTTCTGGGAATACCAAATACTTTTCCTGGTACAGTATCTGTAACATTGCAGAACGACGTTGTCACTTTATTATTTTATTTGGAAATTAAAATTCCTGGACTACAGATATTTAGAAATTAAAATTCCTGCGACTACAGATATTCTATAGATCCTTTAAAGCAGTATGTTATGCACATTAAAAGCACTTCAGCATACTAAAAATATAATTCGTTGTTCACATATTTACTTTAAAGTAAACCTCAGTGTTTCAATTGTATTAACGTTGGTTGAAACGACAATTCAGCTCAGAAACCGTCAGAGGAGGAGGGCAGCGAGAGCCCTGAGAGCGGAAACAGGGACGAGGGTTACTCGACAATGTCCAGCGACGTTCAGGGTGAGGGCGCGCGACAGGAACCCTCCCGAGGGTTGGAGGATCTGAAGGAAGCCACCGACGAGACCGAGGCGGATGTTTCCCCAGATGCACGACTGGTCGCCCTCGACGCTGGTGATCCGGATGTTCTCTTCTTGCCACTGAATCTCACCGTGGGAATAAATCCACGTCACAGCTACCCGCCGACCAAAGACTTGCTGCCGTATCAGCACGTGATGCGCAGCTTCTCTGACAGTCACTTATGCCTCAAGCTAACCACTACGACCAATTTTACGCCGTACAAGCTACCGAGCCCCATGGGATCGTCGTCTCTGCTCCTCGTCGAGGAGGAAGCCTGGGATGCAGAGTACGTGCAACAGTGGCTCAGGTTAGTTCCGAATGCTCATTGTCAGTTGCAGTAGTATAGCAAGGAACTACAAGGAATAGCCTTGGCGAGTTATTATACTGGATGGTAAATGAGAAAGTCCAATTGTTGTGTAGAAAAATTATTAAGTGATACAATTTGCGAATGTTAGGGATATAGGCAAAACGCTTTAAATTTGTCTGCCAGTGAACGGGTTAATTGCATCTCTTTCAATGGATTGTATTAATTTATAGCATATGCTAATATGAGTATTTTAATTTCTGTAAGAGTTTCTCAGGTTCGTATCACCATCGTCTATTAATCGTAAATGCGAGAAGGTCTGTCCACTAAAGAACGTTCCACTAATGACTTCCTTCGCAAGTATCTAATATCTTGAACCGCGGGCATAACTTCAATCTATTTATGAATCTTGGCAACAGTACTCGCATAGTTTCAATGACTCGCATCGCCGTGCGCTCAAATTGAATTCGTTGAATGAAACGGACCTCGCGGTGGTAATTGTTCGTGCGTTCAGTTTAACGGAAGATACGATGGCGACAGCGATTAAACGGATCAATTTTCAGGTTGGACGACAGCAGAAGTGCTCAACAACATCGAGATCTCCTCGAGTTGGAATACGACAGAGCAGAGCTAGAAGATTGGAGTTTCTCGTTGTCCACCGAGGACCTTGTTCAAAATGAATCCACGGTATGGAAGGAGCCCGCCCCCACCGTCACTCCTGCGCTTCCAGCAATCAAGGAATATAATCCTCTGGAATTGGAAGAGGACGCAAACGAATGCTTATGGAATGGTGCCAGTTATCTCGCTGATAAAACAGGAGGAGAATTGGTACGAACCTTGCAACAGAATATAACGACGACACTGTTTTCAGGGGAAAGAGTTTCAGTCTATTCGAGCAGTTCTCGTTTAGTTTTGTTTCGTTATTGAGACAGTTATTCGTCTGCAAAAAACGAATATTATGACTTACAACTGGTTCAAATGATCTAGAATATATCCTTAGGATAATGAGAAGACCCAATGTTATAGGTCGTAGCTCGAAGAAAGACTTATTATTCCATGTATGATGAGCTTGAACAATTTTGAAAGGAAACAAAGGACTTTCCGTAATAAATTTATTTTGCATTAACCCTTTCAGACATGAATTATCTTTTTCTCGTACTAATGTAATTTAATTTTTAGAGTTAACTTGAACTAAAATTCGTATGGAAAAAATAAAAAAGAAATCCTAATATTGTAGTTTTCGAGGAAAACTGGTCTTTCTTCAGGTGTACAAATAAAGGCATTCGCGTTAAACGATAGTATTGGTAATTTCTTAATTTTGTGTCCTCAATTGTGGACGCCAGCTCTGAACGGGTTAAAGTAAATTACTGATAAATGCATGCATAAGTATTTCTGTATTCGCTAACTTTTCTTTTATGGCACAGGTTGCTCTTCTCATGGACGCCAGAGCGACCGGATCGTGGCCCTACGCTACGAGTCCCGGTGCTTCCTGGAGCAGCGAGGAGGGTGCGCTGGAGAGCTCCAGCAAAAGGTCGTCAGCGGCGTTGTCCGGCTGCAGCGACGATCCAGACTCTCCATCCATCGGCACCGACTTCACCAGGGACTTCTACAGGCTGGTGAAGTTCGAAAGCACAAAAAGCTTGGCCAGCACGTCTTCGAGAAGCGGAAGACCACCGCCTGACAGAGAACAAGCCCTCCAGAGCGTCCTGTCCTTTATCGCCGAGCAGCAAATGTATTTAGCCGACCTGCCGAGCAATCTTCTAGAACACAACGCGCCTCTTACAACGGAAGGTTCGTTACTTCCATCGTTGAGAGCAATAACGAGATGCAACACAAACTAAATACAAAAACATAAGTCGTTTTAGTAACTTTTCTATATTTCAATTGAGACAGTGTCCATATACTTGTGAGCGCGGGTGTATATAGTCGCTATTTTATTCTACATAACACATCTTCGTTATAGTTTCACACTTTGGATAAAAAATTGGACTTCCAACTCTCCAACCCTTCCAACTACATCACTTGAATCTACAAATAATTTTGATTGTACCTCATACAACGTGGTTTCGTGATTGACTTCTGCTTCGTGAAACTTTGAATAGACCTTACCTTAACTTTATGTGAACAGTTCTAGAGGATTCCGAGAGCAAAGACGAGTGTGAAACGGAGGCAATGTGTGCCGAAATAGAGGCGTCTGTCGAACAGGATAACAGCACTGTGGAAAACGCTGTTGAAACAAGCAGTAACGATGATTTGCTGGATCAGATACCCGTACCCTCTCTGGCGCCAGAGGAGAGAATAATCAGCGCAGTGGCTTGTAACGGTGGCGTCTCTTACACCACGGTGGCGCCATCCGAATTAGGCGCCGTTCCTGAAGAAGACGAGGAGGCGGCTACTTCCTCGACGCCGAGCACTGTTGTACGTTCCATCTCGAAATTCTTAATATTTTTTTTATGTATCTCCAAGTATGATTACAATTTGTCTAATAACGGACATTTGGTAACCTGTGTCAGGAGGTGTGAAAAAATATTATCACGCAAATAATTCTCACTAGAATTCACCTGCTGTAACATAATAAGACACGTTAGGTTAGTAGGTCCTTCGGATGCTTTTTGTTTAATCTTCTGGATATACTTATGTTGTACAGATTTCTTGCTAGTTCATTGGGGTGGATGCCTAATCTTGTTTTATACTTAATGGTTATCCAAGTTATTCTCAACATATGTATAACGTACCTTTAGCGTTAAAATAAGTTTACTATTAAAAGGTAAATTTTGCCTTGGCCAGGTGAGTCCAGCAAGAGCACCAGCACCTCTACTGATCGAAGGCAGGGACCGATCGCTGAGCTTCCACGAACGCGCCACGTCGAAGGACGTCATAGACGAACTGAATCGAATGATCAGGAAAGGCGAAGAAAGCACCCTCAACCAAGACAACCACTTGCCGCTCGAGAAATTAGACCTCGCTTGCTGCTGTCCAACTGGATGGGTTCACGTTGAACGAGACATTGACTTCACCGACCCAAAAGTAGGTTGCAGTGAATCGAATTAGTTGCTGATTACTAAATAGTTATTGATCGTTTGAACAAAATTATTTAAAACCTTACCTTGAAAGCTAATAATTTGTGTCTCTACAGGCAAGAGCCAATCTTTTAGACGTGATGCTAGCGAGCAGCGAGAGTTCCTCGGCGACATCGAGCAGCGGATCAGCAGGAAGTGACTCGGGGGATGAACCACCGGATTACCGTCACTTGCACAGATTACACCGATACCGACGACAAAAGAAAGGTATTTACTAATGGTTCTTCCTAGACAACCTTTTGTCCAATCCTGCACATATTTGTCGAATAATTCTCCCCAACTAAAAGGCTATACCTTCTGCTTAACACAATTGTCAAGAAATGTTCGTTTTACACTTCATTCTTGATAACTATGACCTATCACGCGGGTATCCTTTTTCTTAGTAACTGTGCAGAGTGGGGCATACCAAGAAAACCATTTACATTTGGTGATGGACAAACATACTTCAAACTTTTGTTTGGTTTCAAGGTAGCACAATCTATCGGTAGCTTTCCATAATAGATGGAGGCGTAAAGAATATATGAGTCGTTCGTTACACAAATCAATTAACTTCATAAAACGAAAATCATATATAAATTCCCTTCGTAATATAAAGTCAAATAAATATTTTAGAACACATAAATACAGATGTCTAACGGTTTATAAAATTAATAAAAAAGAATAGCCAAAAAATAATCGTCAGTAATGTTACAATTTGTATGCAACCGGTGGAGTTACTCGATTTGTGCAATGAACGGCTCATATAGAGATCTAACTTCTTTTTAAGCACTTTTGTCGGGCATCAAATGTAGATGAGTTACTTCAGTGACCTCCATAAGTGTATCACTTTGTATACCATAACATCACTTTTGAGAAATCAACAAATATCGATAACACGTGCATCCTTCAAGTTTACATTCTCAAAGAAAGCTACGTAATACATCTTTCACAAGCAATTGTCCTCCAAGTACCCAGTATGAAAGAAACGCTTCCGCTTGTTTATACTCAAACTAAAGTCACTAACGACATCGCTAATACACTCGTCACGCTAATATACTCGACACATCGCTGAGTCGTTGAATCAACGATTACATCCCAGTGTAATGATCGATTCGTGCTCGACGAAGTGCGTCCAGGAGAAACTATTGGACCATGGGCGAAGATTGGAGTAAACGTAGAAATTTTCCAGCGTCGTGTCGAACGGTATATTAGCGTGCGGTCTGCGCTATCGAGTTGACACATCACGCTGTTAAACGGCGTTATGCCATTTAACACCGTCGGTGTCCACGGTCACAAGAAACGGAACAAGAACACGAACGCTAGAGTAGCCCTCGCTGTACATAGCCTTTTCCACGTTTTCTGTTCAGATGGTAGCTCCTACGCGGTGTGCTTTGATTGTCACAAGAAAAGCTACGTAGTTCGGCTTAGTGACGATCAGTTTCTGTAACCGACATGCCAGTTGGGAGGGATCGTTCCGCCGGGACCTACATTTCAACGTGAACTGTACGGCTACAACGGATTTTCCATTGGCTTACTAACCGATTATTAACCAGAAGACGTTAGAACGAACTCGCTACGGGTGTCACCTTTACGCAATTCCAACTTTGCTTCCATAGAAAGAAAAAAGAAAAGGAAATCTGGTCGAACACCGCTCGAACGGTTTTAACACATTACGAACACGCATAATTTCCAACGGTAACCAAATATTGTTACATATTTATTTTGTATTATTTTTCGAGGATTGTATCACGATTCGTTTGCACGTTGATAGAGAACTCAATAGGAACGCTCGATGAAAATTTGTCCGTAATGTGTTAATAGATTATTATTTTTTATTTTTTTTTTCTACCTACGTAACGATGATCTAACTCTACTAGGGTAGTTTAGTAATAACAGCACGTATGAAATTTGTACGCGTATATACTGCTAAACACAAACGAATGTCTTTGAGGTCGTTCTAGAGATTGGCTGTAAATTGTGTAAATAAGTTTCCATTGTTTACGAAATATTGTCATCGCGTCGAGTCGGTAACGCGTCTGGAATTGCGTCAAGGGCTAGTTAAAGCAGTTGCTGTCTCTCTCATTCTATGTAAGATTGATACTTATCGAATGTCATTGGCAGGTACTTGACTGTTACACGATCATTGTTCATTCGTGCTATTTTTACTCCGATGGAACTCTTTTTCATCAGAACTGTCTCCGTCATTCTTTCTGTTATCCACCATTTGTCTTAAACTATTATAACAAAAATCATACCTAAGTCTTGGGTAGAAAATATTGAGTATTTGATGGTCAATTTCTGTATTTCAAATGCAACAATTGTGCCTTTTATTGCACAAATCGATTAACTCCGTAAAACAAAAAGTTGAGAAAAGCGATGAAATGGCCTCTGAAAGAAATTGTTTATTATTCAATGGCCAAAAAAATGTTGTCGTTTATTGTTCGGGAAAGTTATTATAAATATAAAATGTTATGACTATACCAAGTGCTTTGGGACTTAAATTTAGAATTTTTCAAAAAGTGGAGTCAATCAATTTGTGCAGTGAACAAGTGGATCAATTGAGAACAAAGATGGAAGACGAATGGAACAGCAAAGGTGGCCGGGATGAAGTAGGACTGGTGACCTTGAGCGACCAATATTTTCTGCCAAGAATTGTCAAAGTGTCCCAGATTATATTGCGTATTCCAGAGTTTCGATTTATTAAATTAAAAGCTGCGATAAAAGGTACAAAGTAACTAAAGTTACGCAATAATTTCTGAGACAGGCTAAGAGTATCATAGTTCCTAACGCAGTAACCTACGTAGACGTCCGCATTATTTCGTTTCTTTCAATCACTCTACATATCACCGGTGGCAGTCGAACGGTATGCGCATCTGTACACTAAGCGAAGAAACCAAAGTTTCTTTTCTACTTCAGCAATATTCCGTTTTGTATTTTTATGTATAATATATCAAAAGCTTTCGAAATAAAACCAAGCATGCGATTCGGCACGCTGTTCGACCGCCACGGGTTCCAAAGTTGTAAAGTCGCGCACTTGCCAATGCGAAGTTCCCTGAAAGAAAGAGCTATATCCACGAGAGAAGTTAACTGACGATCACGCATATGACAATGACGATGGAAGGGCGGAGAAAGAGATGGATATAATAAAATGCAATAGTGAAGAGTAAGGGAGAGAAAGAGAGGGACGTGATACGTGTAAGAGTGCTAAGCCGAGCTACTCTGTGTCTGCTAGAGCCGGTATAGGAAGAAAGAGAAAAGAGATCAAGTGAGGTCTGAGGCATGTTGACCCGCTGCGCTTGGTTTCTCAGCATCGGCGGCCCAGGCACACCGTGTGCTGCGTTTGCCGTCCACCTGGGGCTCGTCGAGGCCGTCGATCATTGGACGAGGTGACGACTTCTTCGTGCGATACGGGGACAAGGAACGGGAAGCTGTGGCCTCCTTCGACTTCCTCGATGAGATCGTGCCGCCATCCTCGACAGGCTCCAACGCCAGTCTCATCGACTTGGATGACACTCCGTCTGCCAAGCTTCATAGCGACATCATGAAGCTCTCCCCGCTATAGAATCAGCTTCGAGCCAGGAATCTTCTCTGAAACTAATCAAGAACTCTTGTCGAGGATAGACAAACCGCAGAGACGAGCAAAATTCATCTAGATGACAATTTTAATTGATGAATCCGTCACTTGGTGAATAAAAATTAATATTTGAATTGCAGAATCGAATATTTCCCGTAAATATTCGTACCCTCTATGTCCATTGAAGAAATTTGTTTAAATTAAATGGTAGATTTGATGTTTCCAAGTGTACATATTTATAATGAAAAATTCATTTGGTGATATGAAAAGTATTTTTTAATTTAATGAAACTTCTTCAATAGACAAAGAGGGTATGAATATTTATGAGATTGACTGTATGTATTATTCGAATAAAATTTTGCCCATCTCTGGCGTATTGTTTCGTTTGATGATCAAATTTAATGATCCTTTTTGAGAGCTTGAATTTTCTTTTAGTTACAGAAATCTGTCCAAATATTAGAATGCTCCCAGTTAACACAACTAAAACAAGCGCTAAAATTACTGGCACAGCGTTGGTGCACGAGACACAGGAATAAAATAAATTAACGAACCAAGCGAACAAACGTATGTATTGTGATTTGTCTATCCGTGATAAAACTTCTCAACATGTGTGTCTTTCTGGTCTCTAGCTACTTACAGTTTCTTACTGCATCCTTATTGAACTCACTGTCGAATGTTTGAATCTGTAAAAAGGGTACTCGTTTTCCTATAAGTAAGAACTATCGATCTTTATCCAGTTACGTCTTCGGTGCATTAAAGTTTTTGTACATCCTTAAACAACCAGTATCGAAGGTAACTAAGACTAAGAGCATCATTAACTTGCTTTCTTATATTATTTGAAATCTTCCTCTTATTAAGATAATCGGTAAACTGTTTATGATTAGTAGACGTCATCGCGTCTACGTTATAAAATAATGTAAATTCTACATTGCAAACAATTTTCATTTGAACGATGCGGTCCTTTCTCGATTACTTATTACGCCTCTAAATAAGGGGGCGAGCAGAAGACAATTACCGTACTTGAAATGTACCCTTGCTCACAAGATGGAAGTAGATTTCTTAATTACTATATGTATACAAATAACACTGGAAGTATGAGTAACTTTGCGTAAAAGGTGGTCAAAACACTATTAGGATGTAGCGTGTACAGTGAATACAATTTACCACGACGAAGGAGACCCTCATAGACTGGTAACTATGACCGTACTTCGTGCTGCAAACTTGATAAAAATATCATCGGGATCGCGTTGAGTATCTCCAATAGAACTTCCATCGATGATCTTGTTGACCTAGATCACAATAAATAATAGTACGGTGACTTTATTAAAATCGTTTTTCAACGTGCAACGAGTATTTTGTCATTGAAATCGCGCACAGGCAATTTGACTTACACATCTATCGTTCCAACAAAACAATTTTTGAAATTTTGGGGAGAAGTTAGTTACCGATAGAACCAAGTGCGGCTCTAATACATTTCGTTAATTAAAAACGTATCGACGTTACGTTGAACGAGTGCAAGTGATAGAGTAACTGTTTCTATATTTTTCAACAAAACATTTATGATTTAAATGTAACGCGGTGTTGCGCGTCATCTTCCGAAACTGAGCTTAGAAACTGTAGATTAAGATTATCCGACGGTTTTTTATAAATACGACTTTCTACTGTTCCCTGGACGATCGTCGTTAAAAGTTAGGGATACATTGTAACCTATTATTATTTGCGAAAAACACGTATTACAAGTGCGTATTACTTCCGTTCCGTCTTTAGCAAATATGTATTGTCTCCCAGGCCTGTCGCAGGATGGGCCAGTCGGACCTTACACTTACAGGAGCCTCGAATTTACATAAGAGATACTTAGGACATTTGTATGCTCTCGTAATCAGCTCACGATTTAATGATACTAATAGTTTTGGTACGAAAAACAATATTATCGAGTTCTTTTTTTAAAGAGCCCCTATGCTTACAACTTCAGATGTCTTCTTTACCTGCGGGATAATGGACAACTGCAGATGAACTCTTGATCGCTCAACACGAAACATAAATTGATTGTAGCATATTGTAATTTTTATTGAATAGATAACAGATCAAAATAAATTATATATTAATGGACGAGTAATTGGACATAGAAAATGATAGATGACGTCTTAGCATTATAGACGAGTTGAATTAGAACGTGTAACGATGTTCTTTGTACCAAAAATATTATTTATAATACAAAATGGTTCTTTTTTTTGTCTGAAATATATATTTGGGGCCTCTAAAGGTAAACGACCTGGCCCTCTGTTAAGCTCTGAGAGGTCCTGAGTCTATGTATCTTGTGAATCGTAAGATAGTCCGAGATTCGAGTGAACACGTGAGTTGTAGGCTGTAGAAAGAAATGAAACTCGCAACAAAGTAGTAACGTTACGATCAAAACGCCGTACCAAGTAGATATTTCGTTGTAATTTGTACGAAATTTACCCTACTCCGAGAACGTGACGTTTGGAATAACGATTGATTTGCGTTTGGTCAAATTACTAGGGATAATATCATTAGTCCGTATTAACGTTAAGATGATGAATCGATAGAAATCGAGATATTTTACACGTAGACATATTAAACACGATGGATATTTTCAATATTTGAAACGAAGACTGTATGGGTACAAAGTTGTCTTTTGCGTTCAACCGTTTCTACGCTATTCTTCGTACCATATTCGTAAGTCTAACCACCTCTGTTCATACATTAATTGAACTGAATAGATAAGGCACGTATGACAAAACCGGAAATCCAATTTTACGTTGTCGCGCGTAATCAACTATAAAACGGATGTGTCGTATATAATTTGTATCTAGTTAATCATAGAAATGTTATCGTATTGTATTACTAATTTTAATATTTAGTGACTACAACGAACAAGTTCCGACGAAAACAACTTTTGTCCTGCAGTCTCAGAGTAATCGGTTAATGATATAGATCTAAGTTACACGTAAGTTACATTATATCGAGAATTCGATTACTAAAGCACTGCTCCCTCCCAATCGAAGGAAAACAACTACCAGGAAATTGATCAATATCCGTAAAATGTGATTGGGAAAATTTGTAAATAGTATGTATTATAGCACAACAGATGTAAGTTATCCTCTCTTGAACTTAATAAATAACGACAATATAACGAATGTAAAGACGCATGATCGATGTTCAATTTAGAAAACCGTTCCTATAAAAATATTATCGATATATATTATCAGTCCATTTAATCGTATCATCTATTACGATAGACCCGTAATTCAATAAACAATTGATTAAATTTACTTACGTCGATGTTTCATTTGCATGTAAATAGCTGTGATAAATATATTCGATTACTCGGTTAAGAAAAATTAGAAATACGATAAATTGTACACATAAAATCCTACAAAAATCGGAAACTCTATTATTAAAAATGTACGTTTAAAATTTTATTTTCTTTATTTAACGAAGCCGCCATATTGGTCATTTTAAGGACGAGGAAACAGGTTAATTTGGACAAAACAGATTTTATTAAAAGAGAGATATATATGTAATATATCATTCGACATTACATTTCGAAAAATAATAGTGAATACGTGCTGTACAAACAACAATATGAATTGTATTTTATAAAAGCATCTGTAAGCGATGTGTAATACTTATCAAAATATTATTATAAAAATATTTTTTTATACAATCGCGAAACTACATATAACACGCACTGTGATTTAGTATTTCATTATCCAAGTTAGAATACTTTAGAATGTAACCTGTAATTTAGAAAATTCCAATTATAATCCGAAAAAATTCCAATTACTGATTAGGATCGTTGGTAAGAAAATATTTTCAATTATGTGCACAAATGCTAGGTAAGTTGTATGTTAGATATACATGTTATGTAATTTGACAACATGAAAAAAAAATCACTGAGTCTCTAGAAATAATTTGCACCGGTTATTATTATTATTATTAACATTATTATTATTATTATTATTAAAATTAATATTATTACTATTGTGTTCCGTATATGGTAAATAAAAAATATATTGAAATTAATGGAAATATCAAAATAAAAAATACATTAAATAATATGTTTATACATTCAATATCACATATAAAGGTCAAAGCTTAAACAAAAACTATATTTCAAAATAAAATGAAAGGCACTTCCCCCGCGTCTCGTTTGCGCTTATTTCCTATCATTTGTAAAACTGTCTAAATTTGTTGCATTACAATATGTAGTTGCTATCGTCACTTATAATCGAATTATAAATGATAGAGTAGTGTTACAATTATATTACTATTTACTTAATGTTTATACTTTTTCTTATGCTCGTTCAACTGTTACACCCTGTAACCTCTGCGTTCCGCATTTTTAATGGAGTTCGCTAAGCAAAGCGCGAAGATGATGCCAACCAACTGAAACACAGAAAAATAGATTACACGTGTCTCAGTCACCCAAGATGTATTACCGATCATTCCAATGATTAATAATAATTAACGAACTCACCTCCACCCCAGCGATACCTATAGCGACACTGCCCAATACAGTTCCTGCAGTTCGAAGGGCATTTGTTAGTTGCTCCCCGCAACCATTCTTATATGACTCTGAGATAGAACACATTTCTCCTTCTGATTTTCCGCAACAACTGTAGGGTGGGTTACCGCTATAGTTACCAAGTTTACGATAGTCATTTGGACCGTCAACGCCACAGCATTGGAACTGTAACAAATTTCACATTTTGATAAATGATCAAATTATCACCAATAAATAACAAATGTTACGATATTTACAAGTCACATGCAATCAACGACGTAAACAGGTACAAATGTACTCGGACCAGTTTAACGACGTGCAAAAATGCGGATACTTACGCTGGCTTGAATAACATTAACAAATTGTTTGTTTTCTTCATTTAGCGGGTAACCGTTAAATATCTTTCTGTAATTGTCTACAACATCGACGCCGTTTTTGTCATTCTTGACAACGACGAAGGCGTATACTGCAACAGCCACTTGTATAAGCAAGATGAAAAGGAGACACGATGCAAACTAAAAAAGAGAAAAGAAATTTATTTTTTATTTGTATCACATTACTTTCAGTACATATTGTACAAGTTTTCCATAACTTTCGTTCGAATAATTGTCCAAAGTATTGTTTATAATTAAATAAGAATACTTGTATACTTACTGTAACAGTCATGCAATGACTTTCCCGAATCGCGCCGCAACATCCGAAGAACGAAATCAGGAATATTATGCTACCGACAACTATCAACGTTATCGACGGAAACATAATATTCATGTCGATAGATTTGGTTACATTTGAGAGCTGGAGGTGTACTACGACACCGATGGTCAGGATACCTAAGCCACATACCTGCAACAGGTAACAATTTCGCAAATGAATATTTCAATTCTTTTAGGATTCCAGTTTTGTATACTACAATACGAAGTAATAACTTTCTGAAATACAAGCCAACATTAACCAGTACAGTGTTTATTGAAACAATTGCTGGAATTATACCGACTGTCGGTCATTGCATCTGCATCAAAAAAATGTTCCATTTTTTTAGAAAGTATTACATATACTTGTAAATTTTATTCTTAACAATTCATTAACGCCTATTAACTGGCTTTTCAACATGGAAAGAAACATATTAATTACACATCTAATCGCCACTAGTCTGTAAAGTATTAACTACAAAACATTTTAATCTGTGCTTTCGCTTATCTATGATTATCTATAATTTCGCTTAGATATTAAAAAATTAATATCTAAAAAGTAACAGGTTGAGTCAGAATCAGTGCATTGACGATAACGGGGATATTCGAGATGGACGAAGTTATCGTTCGACCCTGTCAATCGCTTGAATCCTCGAGTTTCTTGTACTGGTTTGGAACCGAACACTAAAGAGATACTTGCGCCGCAAACAGTAGGCAGTTATTACGTCACATTGCACAATATCAACCGGTTGGCATTGAACATTCTATACGCGGTGCACTATGGTTGCGAATATCCTGCACACGAATTTAGGTCATGTTCCAGGTGCGAGCCAGATGGTTCAACGTACTTTCAACAAACATGGCGATATTATAGTTCACTTATCCTTCGTATTATTTTTTTAACATAGAATAAGAAAAACTTATAGCCATATTGTTGAAGTGGACTGAAATCTGTTATCTCTGACACGTTTAAATAAACTAATTTAGGTGCTTGTTTAGCAATTTTATGATAATTAATTATTGCGGTACTTTTTCAATTATCTCGCGTGAAACAGATTAGAGCATTTCTTACTAGACGAGTGAGCAGAATTAGAAGATGTAATCATAAATACAATAATAGAATTACTGAAAACACTTATGGTAATCCACAATGAATTGCGATAAGATTATCTTTTTAAAATATTACTTAGAAAATCAACGATTATGTTTAGCGGAACACAAGTGTATCTCAATATTCAGCAAACTTAACTCATTTCCACGAAAATTTTAAGCAAACACTGGATGAGATAATAATTTCTAAAAATAAGATACAATCACACGACTATGATTAATAATACAAACAAATTTCAATATCGTTTCAAACTGATACAAAAAATAGAAAAAACATTTAATACCAGGCGTCAATCTCGAAAAATTCTTTTCATAACTTTTACAAGATGCTACAATTTCAAAAAGTTCCTGTTTTAGTCTTTCACGAGGATACAAGTCCAAGTAACAAATGTAAATAATACTATAGAATAAAAATATTTCTAATAATCAGTGTCTACGTGAATTAACTCAAATGGGTCACTCACTCTCTACGTTGTATCCTTGACATGATACGGTTATACTTTTCCTGTGCTTTACATACCGGCAAAATTGTGATCGATTCTGAGACGTGTATGTGTGCGTTCTTTAATATCAGCGCACAACGTGAATTTATCATTTGACATCTGCCTTCGACTCTAGTTCTAGGGACTTCGTACGTCTCGTAACACTTACCAGAAAGTAGTTCTTGTGTTAGTTCGCTAACATCGTTTCGTCAGCGCGACATACTTTTACAGTACGTTTAAGCGACACTTTTTCATTATTTAAATAGGGGAAAACGTGGAAAACCGATAAAATCAAACGTGGCTACCAGGAATAAATATCTGGCTATCTGCAGAACATGGGGTATTACTTAAATTTATTCTGCACAACTCAAGGTTCAATTTTTAAATAAAAAATGCAATAATACACTGTTTGGTTATGAATTATTCAGCAATAATTGTATGCTTAAGTCTTGTTTTTTCACTGTTACTTTCATTCTTGATTCTTTAAATATTCAAATAAACGAACAACATTTATTCGATCGTGAAATATTTACAATTTATTTCTGCTTATCGAATACTATAATTTATGATTCATGTAGTTTAGTATACTCAGTGTCGATATAAATATTCATCGACTGGTGGTAATAATTAATTAAACCAATTTACCGTGTATATTTCAACATCGGAGATGGGCAAAATTATCGTTTAAATAATTTGGAACAGCGAATGAAACAAAACAACGTTTTATTTGTTATTAATTGAACAAAACTTTGAATTTAAAATGCACAATGAAGTCGCGATCCATAAATCCATTATTCGGATAGAATGTTGTTAATACCTGTTCGACAATTATTTTGGATCGTGCAATCTTTGAATCTAATTTAATTTTGAAGTCATTTCGTGGAATTTACGGTTTCAAGCAAAACAAATTGCTAAAGTCCGACTTTATCTGATCGTTGTGATCACATGTTACGACAACAACACATCGTCGAGAGGATAGATTTGATCGCCAAACTGGATGACATCATCCTATTCGCGTACAATATATCTCTTACCAGCGACTTCCTCTGGCTGGAATCACGTGCGTCTAATGATGGAAATAAATTTCGCTCTCATCGACCTCGTCTCAACTGCACGTTCCACAGGTTGAACATGTATTTAACAATCAAAACTCAAATGATGTTACAAAACTTTTGTTCGAGATACACGATACAAAAATGTAGTTTAATCTTTTAAAATTTCTGCACAGGTATGCACAATAAACTGTATCGCTGAAAAACACTAATTAATGAACGATGCTCTAATTAACGACTAATTAACGATGCTCTAAAAGTTATATGTAGAGGCTCAATTAATTAAAAAATTAAAAGATGATTCTCCAAATGTTTGGAAATAATTTGGAATTTTCTCGATCAGTCATGTAAAAAATGATCAATAAGAAAAACTAAAAGATTTTTCCCAATATTCCCTCCATGTCTGCCAATTTTCACTGGGATAAACAAATTGCTCTAAACTCTTAGAATAACTAGAGATTCATAATCGCTTGGACCATTTAAAAATCTAGACTATCGTGGGTATATACATTCACGAGTCTTTGTCATACTTGTTGGCGAGCCCCAGATGCATTTCCCAGGGAAATCGATAAGCACATTCAAGTATGATAAGTATAGCGTAGTAGGTTTACGAGGAGTCATCAGTTATTTAAAAATACAGTGAACGCAATATGATGAATCGACTCGATTGATAATCGCAATTCAATTTCGATAAATATCTGTAACACCTTGCCGACTGAGAGCCAATTAATCATATTATCATAGTGACTAATGCTTTATCTACATATTACTGAGAAAGCATCGTATGCTTCCATCATTGTACGAGTTATGAAATATTATATAAATATTAATCTGGAAACAATTCTGACAAATAAATTAAATATTGTATAATGCTAATATTATAAAAATAATAAATATTGAATTTATGTATGCGACCAAACGCTACCGGTCGGTAAAATGTTAATCGACTTTTTCCCATGGTAACCAATAGTTTATCTATTACATGAATTATGTAATATTATATAAATATTACTTCGAAAACGATTCTGCTAGATAAATTAAATATTGTATAATGCTAATACTGCGAAAATAAAAGATATTATTAAATTTAATTATACGTTCAAACGCTACCGGTCGGTAAGTTGTTACCGTATGCTAATAGCGTCATTGACGAGTTGTTAAAGATACATAACTCAATTGGACCCTAATTATTATGCACTCCACATTACTTCCACGTATTAATAGCTTTTAGCGGAACTGTCCACTGCTTATTTTTAATACTAATTAACATCGTCAAACAAACATCCTCAACAGCGATTATCTTCAATTAAATAATCATTTAGAGATCTTCGAACGATTCAACATCAAAAGTCGGACGAAGGGAAAACGTGCTTTTCGAACCAAGCTGTTATTTCATTCGTCGACCTTCGAATTTGTCAACGTATAATTCAAGCTTTACAAAGCGAGCTCCCCAAGTGACAAAAACCTGTTCGCTGTTTTGAAAAACGTGCAACCTTGGATGTATGTGACTATGGCGAGGACAAAAGGACGTTACGTCTCCGAAAGTTATTTTTTAAGTCCATACACACGTGCATATCTCTCGAGTCTGTCGGCAAATAGTCGAAGGAAACCACACGTGGATGACTCAATAGTCTTCCACGAAAATGCTGGCGGTATAATATACACCTTGGGTCAAAAGTTTTAATACTCGCGGATTGTCTACGCGAGAATTTTGAAGTTTCACGTTACCTAGCATGCACAAATGAAGTGAATAATATACAACGAACTTAAGGGGGCATTTCACTGTGAACGCACAAAAAAAGCATATTTTCAATCATTTTTTTCTCAGGAATTATTCCATAAAATTGAATGAATGTTTTTTCCCATTAAAGGTATGATTAACGAAAGTAAATAAAAAAAAATATTTTTTATAAAAAAAAAATTTATTTACTTTCCTTAATCATACCTTTAGGGGGAAAAACATTCATTCAATTTTATGTAATAGTTCCTGGGAAAAAAAGGATTGAAAATATGCTTTTTTTTGTGCGTTCACAGTGAAATGCCCCCTCAATTTATACCACCTTTAGATCAATTGTACTTTGAAATATCGATAGCTCTTTCCTAATTTAACTGATATAACAAATTCCAGGAACCGTGAATGTGATAAATACCTCGTGGAACACATGGATATCGGAAAATAATTTGTACCCATTTTTTCAACGAATTGATACATTATCTGACTATTTTTGGAATTAATGATATCGTAGACACTTTCTCGAAGATGAATTCCCTTATCGCCCACACCATTAAACCTACACGTTCCGCAAGTACGTCGAAAATTGAAGAGGGCAACGTACTTCTTATCTCTAAGTGTCTCTTAAGTGTCTACTATCAATTCATTTTAAGGTACGGTAGCCTAAAAAAAATATTCGTGTGTTGCGAGCCATTCTGCATCTTGTAACGATAACTTATAAGGAAAATTATGATTATAATAAGATGGATAAAAAATAAATTTACGTAGATGTGGGATAAAGCGTGTATTATTATACATTGAGTAACTCTCATTAGCAGACTGCGAATTTTATGCATTCATAACGTGCAGTAATATAGAAAGCATGTATAAACTATAAAGTATACATAATTCTACAGTAAATATAATAATATTGTTATTTCATTTTGCATAAGCGCACTTTTGGTTATATTTAACATGCTTTTATTAGATTAATTTACATCGATGCATAACATGCACAGTCTACTCGTTAGGATCTATACTCGTAGAAAGGCGTTTCTGGGTAGGTAATCTCTACTAAAAAGGAAATCGTGTCTGAATCGACAAAACGAGGGAAATCCCGGTTGCGTAATGTGACTTTCCTCGTTGGTATCAAGGAGACAAGAAAAGAAGTACTAAATTTAAGAAATAGTAAACCTACAATAAAAGCACAATGTTAGTAGTAATTTCCTACAATGTGGAATGATATGGTTACACGTGATATAGATAATTTGAACATTATCCAATAGTGAAAACATATTTAACACAAAGTACAGATAAATACAGATAAACCTCGCAATACTTACTTCCCGTCCAGTTTGAAAGTAGACGATAATTTTCAGCCATTTGTTTAAATTATTATTTTATACTTTAAAGAAAATTTCTTATTAGTACAACTGGATAAACAAGACAACTATGTACGCGAAGAGGCGTGTCACTCAACGTTGATCAAAATCTATGACGCACGTGTTATCGAGAGTCGTTAAGTATCATTTTGCAGCTTTTCATTGTGATCAATATTTCCGTTAATTTATTTTTATTGCACTATACGCCACAGGTCGCAACCTTCTTTAAAACATCTTTCCGCACTCTTTTCTTAGGATCCAAGGATGGTAACCTATCGTGCATGTGGCACGTTGTCATAAAGTTCGAACGCGCAGAGGACACTGACGTGCTCTGCACGTCTTTCCGGTGCAAGCTGGTTAAACCATCACGTTGTGAACCGAGTGATAAACGTGAATTCATTCGTAAGGGGGAATGCTATGAACGGCGAGCATGGGGAGAGGGATCGGATCGGGACGATCTTCTTATTCTAGTATGGTTGTCGGATAAAACGTTTTTAGAATAACGTCGTGAGTCACACGTTTGACCCTGTTTTACTAGTTAAGAGTTAAAAGGAATTATTGACGTCGCATACTTCTTTCAATACTCCGTTTACAATGATCTTTGAAGAGAATAATCCTTGACTCGATGCTCAATTATACCAGATGTAGGCAACATTTTATTCGAACATTTTATTATAACAATTGTTCTAAATATTAGGTATAGAAATTCTGTGCCTCTACGTTCAACTATTTATAACTCCAGTTGAAACGGATGACATTTACTCGCCATTTTGGTACAGTAAAGTACGAACCTTCTAAATCATCAATGTATCATATCATACACATAACTTAAGTCTCAACTTGATAATCATTGCGATGGTCATCAGTAGGCTGCAGATTTTATGCATTTATGTTGGACAATAATATAGAAAACATACATGAAACATATATAACGTACGTTGAATATATTCTACAATTATTATGATAATATTGTTACTTCATTTTGTATAAGCGCATATACCTTTCAGTTATGTTTAGCATGTGTTTATTATATTAGTTTACATCATAAATGCATAAAATTCGCAGTTTAATCATCGGGTTAGGACTTAGGTTATATAATATACACATGTATAGATTCACTGCAATGGAGATCAGGTGGAGAACTTAGATGATTGGTAGTTCAACATGACATTCTATGATTTAAATTATAATTTCGAATAGATAACGAGTAAAAAGTTCGTTATCTTTTATTCGTTCGAAATCATTGCCGAGATAACTCTTCTCCTATCGCTGCTTTTGAAGTGCTAATATTACGTCATCCCGTGCGCTTTTAACGCTGCAACTTCCATTCAGATTTTTAGACAGCCTTGATTCCCCCACGGTACACCTACGTGCCAATTATTGTTTCTTGCGGCAACACCTTCGTCATATTCTGCACGTCTTAGAACTTAACTCCGTTTTATCTAAAGCTACCGGTCATTTACAATTTTGTACCACTTTGTGCCAGGTCCGTCGTGGAAGAGGAAACACACCAATTGCGTTGCCGTGTTTTCGCGTGTGATATGTGGTCGGTGTTGATACGCTCGAAAATGACTGGGTTACGTAAAAGAATCTCGCATGAACCGACGTAATTTCTTGTCGCTTGTAGTCGTCTGCAATCTGGTTTGAAATCATGTATTTGTTCGTATGTTGCTTCTACTGTTGCGATTTTAAAGTAACGTGCAGCAGTTTTAGAAATAATGGTAATATTAGAAGTGATAATATCAGTGATAATAGGATGAATCAATGGAACAATGGCAAACAGGAAAAATTATTGTCACTGGCATACGCCCATCATGAATGTTTTAATTAACGATGCAGAAGAATTTAAGTGATTAGATATACTAAAAAAATAAACAAAAGGAAGCTTATCGTGATTCATTAATTTTTCATTACAAAATAATTGCTATTGCTGTTTGCTTTGAAAAACATCTCAGATCGAATTGTAAAAGAAGTTTGACGAACTTCTTACGCGACTAATTATCATTGAGAGTGAGCGTCGTGTGAGGCTAGATTAAATTATGAAAGGAGTTTAGTTTCACGCGAACATAGCGGAAAAGTTCAAGAATGCGTGAGTTCTTCTAAATAACATGATTCACAATGTAGGGAACTCAATACGATGTCTCGGTTAACGCAGACCGAAAGACACGAAACGCTAACCGCTGGACGTTTTGTTTCGTAACAATTGATACACGTATCGCGGGACAATGTAGTTTAAACAAAAATTGTACGATTTACTACGTTTGAATCGTTTCGTAAAATTGTCGACAGGTAAAAGTAATTACGTCGAAAAGCAGCAATGTTTTACTATTTTTTATTATTTTCCCTCAATTATCTTTCTCTCGTTCAATATTTTTTCTCTGACACGAGTCAACGCGTGTCTGATAAGAAACATAATTGTTTTCAGAATCGTTATAATCGTACGTTCAGACGTGACTTGCTGTTGAATAAAAAAATAAACAGACAAGGAAAAACATTTGTGAATCGAGTTTTTTAATGGGGATTCGTATGTTGTACACGTTGGATAGGTTCTTCAAGATGAAGCGCGTGAAGTCACGTTTTAATTAAACTATAAAATGTGAAGGATGCCGTAGCACATACTAGCCCTTGATAAAACGAGGAATTTAGAACGGAATTACATTCAGTTCCCCTCTGACCATGGAGAAATGACGCAGTTTCGTTGCAAAGCAGAACACTCTGCTTAGAACGCCTAGTAGTGACGCCACGATGGCTAGACACTGAAACGTGTTTTTCTCCTCTCAGTTTGCACCACCATAATCCCCTTAATTCCTGTTTCCCTCTACCTCTGTGTTACAAAAAAGATCTGTCTCAAAATGAATACGAGGATTACCTCATTCAATAAATATTCCCAAGATTTTCCAAGTGGTTCGTATTTTAATCTATTACAGCTAATAGAAGAATTCAATTTTTATTTCTTTATTATGAAAGCGTTGCATAGCCAAATTCTAATTTATTTTTTTTTCAACGTGTGACGAGTGGAAAAACATTGCTAACGTGTCAAAGTTTATATAATTTCGGTTGTTAAAATGCTCTAGTTTCGGATTCGAGTCTCAACCCAGGAATCCTGGGTCTCTCTTCAAATCACGTGTTCTTATTCTCCAGATTTAACACAGAAAACGTACCAAGGACGATCTATTACTTACTGCAAAGATAAAATTAAAAACAAACAGCAACCACTTTATACACGTAGAGACACAGCTCATTTTCTCTTGTTTCAGTTCCTAAATCGATGTTAAAATCGACTCAGTTATTCGGGTTTCCAGCACGATCGCACAAAAACAAGAATAAAAAAAAAAAACACTAAATCGTGGCAAGGACGGCGATCGAGACGATACGCAACAAGACGAGGACGAGGCGAACGTGGAACGAGCACTAAAAACACAACGGTGCGTCGTGAGCCGAAATACGTGAAACGAATCTCTCTCCCTCTCTCACTCTTGCTCTCGTCCCCATCTCAGGCATCGTTCGGAATTCCCTGGCAACCAATGGCTCGTAACTACGTCACTTGTGCAAATGTATTTCTCAAGAAAACTGACGTGCAAACGTGCTGTAAGGAAACTGACGAAAATTTCCTCTAATGAGAATTATTAGTCTTATAATAATTAGTCGCAGCCTCGCGATAAAGAAAAGAAAATAAGTAGAATGTATACAGTGGGTTTAATGATAAGGAGAAAGATTGATACTGGGAATTCATTCTCTGAATATTCTATCCAACATTGATTTGAAAAATCTTTTTTTTTTTTGTTACGAACCGTGTCGCATGTATTTTTTGAACTCTTCAAGTTAAGGGTGTATTCTAGTCTAGAGCATTTTTAGTTGTTTTTTTTTGACACATATTTGTTTACATTTTGCGAACATACATAACTTTTTGCAGGTAAAAATAATCAAAATTAAACGTAGTACAAGTGATTTTGTACAGGTGTCGACACCGTACTCTTTAGACGTCCCTAACTTCGTTAATTTTTCGAATTCAACAAAATTGTTTGGCAGACGTATTTCCGAAGGTCTAGACTTTGAGAAAATCCAAAAGAAATCGATATTTTGAAAGTTAGACTAGAATACCACCCTTAAATCTGCATATCCATATAACCCTTCGTGTTCACGGTACTCTATTCTATACAAACCAGTTTCAGGCAACATATTGTTATTATAATGTCAACTGTGTGATATTCTAAAATTTTTTCTTGCGAACTTGGTATTCGATAATAAATATTCACGATTCTTGTTCTTATATGAGGAAGTCACTAGCTTCGCCATTATCAAAGACACCCTTCTCTTCCTCTCTTCTTTAAGCAAACGTTTTGGACGTTGACCAACCTAGTGACTTTCTCCTAGGATAAGATAAGAATCAATGTTGCATATACACGGTATACACGAACGAAATTAAAAAGCCGATACCTATCTGAAAAAAATCGCTTTTCTAGAAAATGGTGTCGAATCGAATATCAAATAAATGAGAATTTAACAAAAATACATTTAATTTTACGAGTGTTCTTTTCAATTAAGTTGAAATTTAGTTTACATGAGTAAACACTGACTTTCTTCGTGACATACACTTTTGGTATATGCATAAACATACTTGAAGAAGTGCGAAGGTATATAGAATTTATGGACAGAAGTTCGAAATATTGAAATCTAGTTCTATGGAATACAGCACAGTACTCTCCTAACATAAATAGAATCGCTATATCGATTATTTAATACTATATACATTTATCTACTTTTCCTGATGTAATTTTATAGAGTAGGTTAAAGATAAAAAAAATATGCAATTCAAAAATAATCTGAACTCTCAAAAGTTAAGGTCTGAGTTAATACTCAGGAAAACTAAAAAAAAAAGAATTTATATCTAAAATTTCCTCTAAGAAATTAACATCGAAGTAAAACAATAATAAACAGAATTATAAATTGAATTTCTGGATAATAATTTTCAATAACAACGCGTATAGAATTTAGAATGGCGATCATCGATGAAATAATTGTGGTAAATATAGTTCTAATTATTTTGAAATTACTGAAATACGTCGTTAGTATTACATTAACGCTGACAATTCATGAAACTATTAGGTTTTTTTTAAACCATAATGGATATCCTTATCGTATGACTCACGCTCTATTGCAAACATTGGCGTATGTTTAATCAACCATGTGTGAAAATATACTGACTAAGAAATTATGACCTGTTCCACACAGATATCTCCACCCATCAATATCATGCAACAATTAAAATAAATGCGATATCAAATTCCGTACCTAATACGTCAGTAAAACTCGCACAGTGCAATGACGAATCGTTACTGTGTTGTAATGGAAATTTCCACGTGAAATAAAAAAAGACGTACAATAATTCCAGCATAAAAAGTCATAAATCACGTATGGAACGATATATCGAAACTCAAGTTTAAAAACATCGTTCACGACGCTAGCCAAAGATAATAATGAAAGGAAATCTTAGCAAAAGAACAACTGCGTAAACAATTATCTTGAAAGTATGTTTATCAATCAGTATTTAAAAATAACACACGAGATAGGATGCTGGATGCTAACCAAATACGACGTAAAAACTTTCACTTTGTTCCATACACGATGAATCTACAGTCTTTGCTACGTTTAATGAATTACCAGTAAGTCCTTAGATAACGAAAAAAGGACAACAGCTATTCAAACAATTTATTTTAACACTACGGTATCCGTCTCTCAGCGTACAATAAACCGATCATGCACTTGCGTTTCACGGTTCGATTACAAATAAATAATAAATAAAGCGTGTTAAATCGCTTCTTGTAATCTGTATACGATGTCCTAAACGCTTAGTATAAGGTAGTAGAGATTTTGATACTTCTTATAGGTAGTTTCGACTTACCGCAAAGATGAAATTAAATATGAAGAGTAGGTATTTTATCATCCCCATTCCGCAACCCATCTTTGTAATTTTCTTTTGCTTGTTGCTTTTGTAGCCAGAAGAATGTCGGTATACCAAAAAGTCGTTCAGAAGACGCGCAGAGACGCTCAACAGGTTAGGTTAGAGACGGCACGAATAACAACTGCGGCACCAACGTCTCGTGTTCAACTGACGCCGTGACGCGATACTATGCGAGAGAGCCGAAACGAGTTCTCATTGTAAGTTGTAACGCGCAATAGCGCCGCGCCCGCCTTTATCTGAAAAGATTAACGGAGACTCTATACTCTGCACAAATATCGAGGATCATCGTACTGTTCGAAACGAGGCACAAAAAATATTAAAACCGTTAAATTCGAAAAGGTAACTTAACCAATGGTATATTATTGAAGTAAAACTATATCTACTTTCGAATCATTTGCGTAGCAAACACGTGGCATAGAGATGTCCCAAATAAGGCTAGGTTTATTCGTCGAATTCTTCTGTGTTTGATTATTCGGAAACTTCACTGATTCATACACCTCTTCAAATATGATTATTATTCGATAGTATTTCCGCTGGAAAAGTCTTATCAAATAAAATCCAAACATATATTTTATTATACATCAAATATTGGTCTACAAGCTGGGAATTGAAATGAATCACATTTTTAATGGAAATGAAAGTAACCTATTATGGATTAAAAATAACTAAATTGTTAAAATTTCAAAATAAATCGAAAACGTAAAATAAGAAATGCATATCATGTTACAAATATTTACTTTCTGTATGGACACATGGCATACATCGTTCCGGATTACTGAAAATTACTCTGTTTTATATCAGGAGATCTACAATTGTACATTTAAGTCAGACAAACATCACTCACACTCTCTTTATCAGTACTGAGGAAATGAATTCGGTGATAATAGCATATACGTGTTCTTACGCTAAATCTTATACAAAATATCATTCCATTTGAAAAATTATCTTCGAACTAAGGAACCTTGCGTTAAGATCGAATATTTTACAATGTGGCATAATTTTATCGCAGAATTTCACAATGTATGATATAGCACCAGGTATTATACGAATTCTACGTATAAAGTGATACGTGACATATTGAAAGTAGCATAATTATACATTTCTATTGTTAACATTGTATATATTGTTAGTTTCTGTAGAATTCTTTGGCTGCTGACTGAGAAGGATATCGTTCGTTCCCATATCTTTGGATGCTCGCGCAAGCATTTGCGCAGTCGCAATTAGATCATTTCTCCTTTCCGTAAATTCCCGACATGCTTTCATATAACATGTCATACATATTATGTAACCTACCTGAAAATTAGTATAATAATTCATTAAAATTAATTTGTTCGTTAGCAATTAAACATTTCTAATCTTACCTGTAATAATACTGTACACAACGCGAGCAAAAAAACGTGGAGGAGGATCGATCTAGTACGATTTATTACTACTTGGTGGCAACCTTTTGCGTACATTGTATTACAGGTGCCTATACTATCGTCAGAATTTGCAAGTACCGACGTAGTATCACAACACGACCAGGGAACTGCGTCATGGTCGCGATAATCGATGGGTCCGTTTACTCCACAGCAACGTAACTGAAGAAGAAATGAAAAACTGAAGAACCGAATAAATCCACAAGTTTCAGTTAATGCATTCCAAAGCTGTTGGCTCTGAAATCGCACCCCTCACCCATAAATAAATTCTGAAATAGTAGTAACGATGGTAAATTAAATTTTAATATTTACCTTGAAATACATGCGATCCCAAGAAGCTTTATCGTTCGAAACAGCATGTTCGAATACTTGATTGAGATAGTCAACTGGTAATACATCCACTCGTTCGTGCCTTACAAGAGCCCAAATCCCAGTACTCGTGTTGATAATCGTAACGATTATTAGCGCTAAGAAAAACTGAATGCGAAACTACATGTCTTTCTATCGTTATTGGATAAGAAAGAAAACTGTGTAACAATTCGAAATTTACGTATATCATCGCGAGAAAAAAAAAGATAAGTAATTTTTGTTGTCGGTATAACGAATAGATATATCAACTAGGAATGAGCGATATATTTCTTACAATTATGACTTGACTTCTATTTGTGAAATCAACGAATTGCCAGGCGCACCATGATAGCAAACATGTTACCAGGCCCATCACTAGCAGAATTGTTGGTGAACCGCATACATGATTAGGCGTGAGAAGGGAATATTCATACAGTTGGTATATGAAATAACCAGCACATATGCTCTCTACGATACCACATACCTGGGAAGAAAAGAAAAATTTGTGTCACTTCCCAATGTATTTCTACCTGATATTATGCGTTAATACATCTGATAAGCGACGATGAGCTATTTATCTAATCTTCGCATTATTTTTAATGACCGAGTAAAGAACATTTCGAAAGAGATACGGAGTGATAACAGATTACGAAGCAGTTACTACTTTACTATTGGTATTTCCAGTTCGTAACATATTTAAACTCGAAAAAAGACCACTTTGTTGTTTTTGATATTAGACGAGATCTAGAAAGAAAAAATAATAAATGTCGACCATAAATTGATCACGCGAGCCCTAGAATTACTAAAATTACTAACGCTAGAAAAGTAGAGAGAAAAATGATTCGAATGCGATTCAAAAACCGGAACAACGCGATTTTTATAAGATCGCCCTTCTCACAACGTAGTTGGTAGTAAATTGGCGGGTGTCCAATTTCACGACAAATCGGAGGCTGGTCACCGACTGCTGTACTTTTAATAATAGAACAACGTCCAAGAACAGAGCCGAAAAAGAACGCGAGGAAAAATGAGAAGAACATGATACTTGATGTAATTCCGATAATTGAAATAGAAGGCATTCCCTTGGCTACACAACACTGAATCGGTATAGGTTCATTGTGTGTAAACACTCGATGGTGCCGTTTACAGTTAGGGCAAATATACACTTACACCGACGACAATAGCACCACCGATGAGAAAGTAACGCAAGCAAATGAGCGTCCGTGGCATCGCGGATTTGTGAATAAAAAAAATATCACTTTAGCAGCCTGTACATTAACGTAAACTTAGAAAAAACGAGAGAGATTTCACAATAGAGTAACCGTCGCCACGGTGACCAAGCGCAAACCTCAGGCCCGAACCGTCATTCCCTGTAGCACTGAACAACAAAACACACAGTCGACTGCGTGCTATTTGTCTTATCGATAAACCGTGTTCATCTCCGTCTCAAATCACGACATACATTTTACATCGCAACCGTTTCCCTTCGTTTCTTCTTCTCATTTTGGATACTTCCTTTGTTCGACGTGAATTACAGTTCGTGAACTGTTGCTTGTAGCTGTAGGGTACCCGTAGGTGAAAATACGTCGAAACTTGAAGGAGAAGCGATGAAAGCGGCAGGTGTCGCATTTCGATCGTTAATTACAAGGGGATCGATACTTTTGTTTTGGTTTATTATTGCTTCTACCATAATAGTATATCGATATTGAATTTAAGTGCAAGACAGAGAGTACGTGTACGTGAGAGAAAACTGACTAGGTTGCATTGCTGGTAACTATGTTTTGATTATGTTATCGACGGAGCAGATAACCAACGGCGGTTGCATCTATATTCCATCTATGCTTCTGTTGCAAATGCTCTTTTTAAGTAAATGCGATGTATTTCGAGCAATACTTCTGAGTATAAACGTGTACACAGTTGCTCTTGTATAAAACAAATCTGAGAACATTTGGAATTTAATACAATTTATATTAAACATCTAGTCTGCCATTAGTAATTTCATTTGTAGATATAGACATAGAAAAAACAAATTTCTTTCGTAGGAGAAAAAGTAGTTTATAGGATTTTTCTATGTAACTATTTTCTTCTGTAAAAATTAATTTGTTGGGTTATACTGGTCCCCAATGGTAAAAGTGGCGCAATCTATGGGCGTTATCAAACTCGTTCTTCTCGTACGCAAACTATACCTTCTTGCACCTCCTTGCTAGAAAGTTGGTAAAGGGAGGGGGAGGGCGGGGGGGGGGGGGGGTACGTTGACGTAATGTATCCCTTTAAACCACCTTAAAGAGAACATATTAAATGGACTTTTGTCCAGACACCGTCTGCATATTTATCAATGGGCTCCGAGTGACTCATATGAAAAGAAGAACTTGTTATTATCGTTAGATGACATCACGCGTGGAATCTGTTAGTGTTTGTAAACAGTCCTCGTAATTATAGATTCTGTCAAAAATTGGGGTATCCATCATGGGTCCAGAAAAAATTGATGCTTGCGATTTATCCGACGTTGTTTTAAACGAAAACAGTAGCAATGACACGCAGGTATGTGACGCAGAAAAGTAAAGTAAAAGTTTTGTATTTACAGACATTCGAAATGATTCTAGGATTTGAAACCAAAAAAACGTCTGAAACGTATATTGCATTTTTCGGATGGCGATTTAGAAGAATATTCTGAAGATGAAACTGATAATTCTGAAGAGAATAAAACAGTCAATCATATAGATCCAGTTAAGTTTTGTTAGCAATCATTATGCACCTTACTTAATTTAGGGTTCCATTAGTGTATTTCATGTAAAATTATAAAATGGAACTTCCAGAAAACACTTAATTGGATACCTTGGGCTTGGTATCAAACAACATGGGTTGGCACTAAGATATTGGATGGTTGTGATTGTGCAGGCGAATGGTTGGCCAGTTTTTTTGGTATTACATCTCCAAAATATCAATTTGAAATTAATGAATTCTATAGACAGCAAGCTCTCGAAAATGAAATGACACATAAACAGGATTTAGAGATGGGTGGATGGAATGAACGTAACAAAAATAATCTTATACAGGACAATAGTGTACAATGAAACAATGGAGTTATATTTTGTAATATTTATTCACAGAATTGTTTATTTTGTGTTTATTAACATAATTCTGTGTTTCAACATTATGTGTACTGAAAATTTGTGGAACTGTTACAATTTTAAATATTTTAGTAATTATAATCACTTATTAAATAGTATGTGTAAAAAAAGTTTTGCTTTTGAAGCATCATAAGTATATTAAATTTGTTACATACATGTGTAATAGTATACAAAATTTTAAAAATATTATCAAAATGTGTTTCATCAATAGAAAGTAATATCATAAACATATGTTTATGGATAGCTTAACAATACTGCTGATACTTAAATCTTGAAAAAATATACAGATTGGACTGAGCTACTTAATTGTCTTATTATATAAGAATATTATTCTAGGTTACTGAATATAGAAAATTATAATGTTTTAGCAACTTTTAGTATTAAAATACATTTTTATATAAACCTTGAATACCAATATTGTAATAAATCAAAAGCATATACATGTCACTAAATTTAATTGCATTTAACCAAACTAATTGTTTAATTGTAATTATCACTTTTCATATTATAAATTGCCATATACTTGCTTTCAACACAGCATGTATCTGCAGGTTTGTATAGCAGGAACTGATACTTGTTATATATAAATATGAAAAGTCTTTTATCTTTTAAAAGTTCGAAAAATTATGATTCTGGTACAAACCTATGTAAAGCACTAGTCAGGACTAGTAAAGAGCTTTGAAGGCCCTGAGGTAAATGCCTTTGTAACCATGCACCTTTATACTGTTCTATGTGTGCCAACATTTTATTTGCTACATCGGTTCTAAATGTAGGTGGCAGATTACATACTCCCAAATTAATTACTGCAAGACCCATATTGCTATTAGGATTAACGCCAACGCCAATTAACGTTCTCCCAATTTTGCATGCCGTTAACATTAAATCAGCGGTCAATTGAAGTTCTTGTATTTCCATTGACGCAAATTTTGATGATAAGTTGACCTCGTACAATGAATGCGAAATGCGTTTAATTTGTTTTGTCACTTTCTATTAAAAACAGTCGGGAATATTATTTTGTCCGTAATCGATCTAACTATACTATCTAAATGTATATTTTCCTTAGATTTAACGGTTATAATTTTTATACTTACTGCAAATAAATCAGATGAAAGGTATTCCAAATTAACATTATCTGGATCTGTTAATAATCTATACAATGCCGATCCTCGATTATCGGGAATTTGTTGTAAATGTTTTGCTCCTTGATTCTTACTTAAAGTAAGTACCAAAGTATCTAAACGTCCCAATTCTAGTATTGCATTTCCAAACTTACATTCTGAATCTTGGAAAATATGAATATCTAGCAGCTTTGTAATACACTTTTGCCTAAAAAGGTAATGTTTTTACTCTTTTCGTAAATATATAATAAGGTGATTTAGTAAAATTATTACTTTGATCCAAACACTTCAGATATTTCGTAATTGTCATCGACGCCCATTTCTATTTCGCTAGCTGGATTCCATGACAATCCTGCTGCTATTAAATATCCAATCCAAGCAAAGGGATGTGGAGTAAGATGATGACTCCCAGACCAATGTGCTACTACTATGCCTACTGAATCCTGCTCCAGAGAAGTTTTCACTGCATGTTTTGTATTTGCATAAGTTGATGCTGGACATCCTGCTAAACTATTATAACTGGCTGTTCCCGAACTCGGTAAAACATTACCACCCGCTATTCTAAATGCTTCTGTCCACTCAGAAAAATCATAATCTGCCTATAACACGAAATTTGATTGCTTGTAATAATAGTCACTAGTACTTCAACATTTTCTAACGCGATGTTATTTACCTGAAATCCATATTCAACAAGAATAATGTTGTTAGGTATATTATGAAATTCTGGCTTGGAATGTAAACCATTTGAACAAAGTAGCAAAGTTGTACTTGAACTCAAATTTAAAATATGCCATAATTCTTGAAGACAAGAATACGATTTGTATACTTCCGACATATCTGTTTCTATAGTTTCGTTAATCGACAAATTCAAATCAAAATTATCTGCTTGAACGAGTAAACTAGCTAATCTAGGCCCAACATGGACATAACTTAAACTTGGAAATACTGCTAATAATTCTTGGAATATAGGCCACATTTGTGATAAATGATGTTGACCTACATTAGAATCAACATCTAAAGTTGGAACTAAATATAAATGTCGATCCCTGCAATAACAAATAACGTTTTACGGATACAGTAGTAGATCGAAAAAACATAGTGTAAGAGTGTTACTACTGCAATCCAATATAATTTAACACAAAAGTAAACAAACCTGCAGTAACGGTCAAGAGTAACCATTTCAGATTTTGAATAACAAAGTTGCCAATCACAATTTGGAGTAAGTCTCGAATAGAGATGCAAATAGGATATTTTAAAGGATGACCATAAATCGATCATGTGTAGTAAATATTCTAACGTAGGTATGCGACCTCTCGGTGATATATCTAACAATATACCACGGTGCGAGAATCTCGGTTCATCTTTTATAAAAACAGGTTCAATTTCACATGCATCTGGCCTACTGTGATTTTTACTTAATCGCAAAATTTGTACGAATGTGCAAACTGCGTAATGTAATCCAGCTAAACTTCCAGCACCAACTTTAATAGTGTTCTGTGAGATGTGTAACTGATACCCATCAGGTTTATTAAATAACTTTTTATTTACTATACATTCGATTCCATTGTCATTAAGTAACTTGCCAGAGCTGGGATGCACTTCACCAATTTTTACATCATGACCCAACTCCAATAAATGAGTCCTGCTAATTTCCCAAACATCTAGTATTTTGTGTATAGATTCACTACCCTATGTAACAACATAATATATCAAAGAAATGCAAGAAGTGCATATGACAATAACAATTATTTAATTATGTTAAAAACCTATACCTGTGTTAGAGATATAAAAAGCTCTTTCCCAGCAATAAAAGGTGCAGACAAATTTTTTAATTCAACAACGGTTTTCGGTTGCGGCCAGAGTAAACTATACAGCCCATCTTTTTCTGCACTTTTAGTTGGACTATCTTTTCCTGATTCGCGTAAAGGTATATCGTACACAGGATCTATTGATTTATTAGATTCTATGGAAAGTTGACTCATATTACTTGAAATGCTTTTGTGACAAAAATTTCCTTCTGTGAATGATGCAGTGGGGCTATGCATTGCTTCACTCTCATTTGATACAAAGTTTGATAAATAACTCTGAATAAAACAATGCAAAGGTTGTTTCCCCCTGGAAAGATCATATGGGGTCTTCCCTGCAAAGGTTCCCTTAGATGCTCGTACAAGAGGATTTGCACCCGCTTGTAATAATTCTTGACAGATAGCAACATCACCACGATTTACTGCATCATGTAATGGTGTAGCACCACAGCCATTTACAGCATTTACATCTGCTCCTCTATCAATTAAATATGTGACAATATCTTTGTTTCCATAACAAGCTGCCCAATGTAAAGGTGTATTTTTACTGCCATGAGAGTCCCATGAATTTACATTTAATCCTGCATCTAATAATTGCACTACCCTGTCTATCTCGGATGCAGCAGTTGCTCTCAATAATTCTTCAATGTATGTACGACGTATTGCATCGCTTGATGCAACATCTACAGCATTATGCCCATTGGTGTTTTGAATGGCAGGATTAGCACCACAACTTAATAATGTACGTACTATATCTGGCTGATTAGTCTGCATTTTTATATAAATCAAAATCTTACTGTATGCAATATGTTTGCATGTACTATCATCTTGTAATATATGGTATATATAATTACCTTTGCAGCGTATGAAAGAAAAGTACCTTCTTCCAAGAGTGGTTGATTTAGGATTTTGTCTCTTGTTATACCATCGGCTGTATTACCATTTTCACCTGTCACGAAATTGGTAAACAAAATTTAGACATCAGCACTTGAAAGGTTTCATTGTGCGAGATATATTCATTTCAACGTGACACATTTTAATCCGTTTGTTTACTATACTTGAAATACAAGTATCTTTAACGTAACGTTATGTGATAAATCGTAAAAAAACTATGCATAATTTTATAGTAAAATTTCTTATACGTACATGCATCTAAAAGGGATCTAATTATATCGGTACGTCCATGTTCAATAGCTGTACGAATATTTTCGCAAATGTCTTGCATCTCTGCTTGTTCTTATGTCATATCAAACTTGTGTATTGTACGTACAACATTATACGAAAAATAACTTGAATGTCAGCTATCGAAGATTATGCCAAACATATCACTGAACTTGTTCATCATATTGCTGGCGCTGGCGTTCGGTTTAATGATAAAAGTATCGATACAACTACCGGTAAACGTATCGAGACATCGTTTATCGATTCTCAATGTACTTTTGAAATGTCATTTTATGGAGTTTGCATTATAACAACCACTATTTCGTTAAATTAATAATTCACGATACGTTATACGGTAAAAACAATAAATTGGCGATCTTGTGATCATTAGGGTTTTTATTATGTTCTTAATTGTTCCCATTTAGGCGTATACATGTATTGAGCGCCATTTTACCTTGCGTTTATGGATGTACGTCGTCGAAAGTTTATTGACAGTAGTGTAATACAGAAAATAATAAAACAAAGGTAGTTTAAACTTTCAGGACAGTAAATGTTTTCCACAGTGTACGATTACAAAGCATTACGTAAACGCGAAGAAAGCAGTGATAAGAGACAAAAACACGCGTCTTGTTAGGTTGATGATTTCGTAAAATTGAAGTGTATCGATTAAACAGTACATCTTTTGTGATTTCAAATACGACTTCTCGTTGACAATAATGACTTCAGAATTAATTTTAAGCTTACGTTTAGATCCTGAAACATTTACCACCATCAAGCTAAACGATGTCAATTTTAAAAATAAGGTTAAGGATCTGAAATGTGAGATAGCTGAAAAGGTTAACCTATCGAAGGAATCGTTTGGTAAGATGACGTTTCGTTTTCCTGTCTTTGTTTATGTTTTGATTTCGATTTCATTTTTATACACAATCCTCGAATTTCCTAATGTATAAACAATTTATGATATGAAACTATTGTAATTGTATTTACAATATTATACAAAATATAATTGTAACAAAAGTAATTGTAGAATTACTGCCATAAATATGTTTGTCCTTTGATTTTTTTCAGAATTGATTTATTGTGGGTGTATCCTTGAAGATGATGAAACTTTAGAATCATGTGGTTTAAAAGGTGGTGTAATGATATATGTTTTAAAGAAAAGGGAAAGAGAGATATCGTCGCTATCTAAATATATATCAGAAGATAGCATTTTGCAACTTGTATCTGCATTTAAGTCTATTACAGATAATCCTGTGCTTCACACTACTTTGCAAGTAAGTATTGCATTTATTTCATATGAAATGTCATTGATAAAATATATCCATTAATTGTAGCGTTTCGGCAAGAGGCCAGAAATTATAAGCAACATCATTTCATCTTTTCCTGGATTACATGAAGATATGACAGCAATTGCTATTTTACAAAATTGTGATCTAATGGCACATTTTACAGATGTAGATACTGTCAGAAGGTAAATTCTATTTTATACATTTATTTTTATTACTGTTATTTGAATGTGAAGCATATGTTATCCATACGAGTAGGTTTGCAGAGGCACATCCAGTCCTGGTAGAAGCTGCTCATAATATAGCTGTTGCTGTTCACGAAGAGGCACACAATGCAAATGTCAGCACCAACAATTCAGTATCCAATTCACAACCTGCTACTTCTTCCCTTAGTTTAGATAACTTGAGCGATGATGAAGAAATGGCTGGGGATTCTTCTCAGTCTTCTGACTCTATACCCTTGCCACCAAGTATACCAACCGATACAATGCGCGATAGAGTCATTGCTATATTCGAAGAAACGATTGCCCGCTTACAAGCTAGAATTTCCGATCCTTCTTCTTCTTCTACCTCGGGTGAGAGTACGAATTCTGGAGTAGTAACTACAGAAATGTTCAGGCAAGCTATGCAAGAAGCTTCGGCGGCAACGCCAGGTTTAATCAGTGATTCTGTGCCACCAATTTTACCGCACGTTTTACCAGAAATTATGGACTTGCGAAGACAGTTAGCGCAAATGCACGAAATGGGACTGCAAGATGATACATTGAATATTCAGGCGTTGCAGTTTACGAACGGCGATGTCCAGGCAGCAATCGAGCATGTGTTCAGTGGTTTCAGTAATAATTAAGTATATTGTTAAATTAGCATTTAAACAGAAAAAAATTGATAATTGTATAATTAAATGCCTTATTTCTGAAGTAATTGGAGCCAGCTAGATAAGGTTAAATATGAGAAAGATTTATTTAACATGTTAACAAAATCTCTAATCCTGTTTGCTTTTCTCTAGTTCTATAAGTATCTAGCGAAAATTCTTAGTAAACCAAATTCTTTAAGTATTAATACATATTCCGATTTATGTACAAAATTTAAAAAACGATTCGAGGTTGCTTATATACTTTTGATATTTTAAAAAATAATACTTTAAGCGATTTCATTGATGTATATGAGGATGACACACAGTAAGAACAATAAAATTACATAATTAACAAACTGTATATGGTTTTACGTATCAATGCGAAACTGTGCGAATTCCTACTCCGCATATTTAAATGGAGTACATCTTGGCCCTGATCCTGACGATTTGAAGAGAATCAGCAAGATTCAATGACTTTTTCTTCCACGGCAGGAATCCGTGTACTGAGGGTATAGTAAATTTGTGCGCAAGGCTGATGCGCGAGCGTGTGGCGCGAGAGGAGCGTGTGGCGCGAGAGGAGCGTATGCGCGCGCTCGAGCAAAAGGGAAATTGTGCGACATTCCGTCAGTAGTAAACGGAATTTAGTGACGATCGGACGTGCCGAGTTTCTGAAATCGCCCGAGTACGTATGACAGGAGTCGCACGTGCTTACGAACGCAGTGCGCACCCGGTTCGAAGAGACTCTCGTTCAGTGTGAGTCCAGTGAAAAAAAAACGCGTTTCGCACCGTTTTTTCGTCCACGTTGTTTCGAAATGTCGTTTAACGTATTTTCAAAAAGCTCCGAATGTTAGAGTCGTCACATACACAACGCCGGCAGATGTGAACAGTTCGAGAGGCGTGTATATTCATGGCGTGAGGTTATGGGGGAATCGGATACCTGACAGAAACCCTGTTCCACTCGAAAGGACCCTTTAAACGGGGCTGGGGAGAAAGGTGAAGGACTAAACATTTGCTTCTGTTCTGTCGATTGAAAAACGTTGCGATTCCTTTCTGTGAAAGCGCGTAGAAAGACGATGTGCGTGTGTGTACGCCGGTCTTCCCCCTCGCTCAAGAATAACGGTAACAAAACGTTAGTCTGCATTTGCAGTAAAGGCAAACGTGGCGAGATTAAGGCTGGAAATAGGCGAATTTTTCTTTCTTCGAATGTTTATACAGAGCAGTGGTTCAATTATTCGGTGAACATTATTGGAACATTGAACCATTCGAATTATTCGAAGTATTCTGTATACAATTTTTGGTTTGATTACAGGAGATTAACATATACCATGTTTCCATTTTTCCATGTAAACAATAGAAAAGATTAATTTTGTTATGAAAGAAATCTTGTTTTCATTTAATCGCCACCTTTTTAGGGAAGGCACGCGTATTCAATTTTCCGGAGTAGTAATATTCGAATAATGATACTTTATTAAATTGTGAATAAACACTAAATGTTACTTAGTTTCTTAATTTTGTAAATATCTGTTTTAATTGCGTACTGCTAATGGAGTACAAATAAAGTAACGGAAGACACAAAACAGAAATTCTTTCCCCTTGTTTATCAACAATTAGCTCCAATGATGTTAAAATCACTCGAAATCAAGATTAATAAGAATATTAATTAATATTTCAAAATATATGTACACTATTTTAAGTATGAAATATTCCAGAGAAAAAAAAATTATTTATTAAATATGGGCATTCTAAACTTTAATTACACGGAATGCAAGGAAAAGAAGAGAAATAAGTTATTCGTGCAAATGAAATTTTAATCAATGTTAGAATCTTTTATAAAGCAAAGTAAAATGTGGTTTATTTGCCACGCCCATCCTTTTAAAGGGATAAAATTCTCCAAGCGACTAAATCTAACTTAAATTTTCCTCATTTCAAGATGATCCTACGTTTGAAAAATAAAACATATATTGTTTCAATGTCTTTTTTTAATTATCGGGAGATTGAATTAGAATTGGCAAAATTTTGCTCGAGATCTCTGTATTCCATCAATAATTATTTAATCTTTGATTAAAAAAGGTTCAAGTAAAAATTACATTTTCCTTAGGGTAAACAAGGAGTGTTTAAAAAATTATGATGAATTCTATAATTTATGTATAAAAATCCAATCATCTCCTCAATTTACAATTAAATATCGCAGATTTTCCAGGGAACATCAAAGGATTCCCCCGACGAGAGGTAAATGGTCTCCGACCCGCCCAAGTAGCCATTTTTTTCACGGCGTTGCAAGAAACGATTAATTCGATAACTGGATCACCCATGCATTAACCCGTCGAGAGCCAGTAATTATGTGTGGAGTGTTGTAAACAAGGGTAATTTCATAATTGACAAGCCTACGCGGCAGTTGTTAACTAATTGTAACTCGAGAGCCAAGGGCATCGGGCGCCGATCTTTACCAACACGAACCGGTTATGGGGGGTGGACCAAGTGCGGACTTGCTCTGAACTTCCATGAATCATTTCGTTCATTCACCAATCTGGAATTGAACTAGATAAAGTTCGAGTAACTACCCTTAAAAAGTCGTAATTATTACTCTTTTTGGTCACTTGTGATGTTGGAAATTCTTTTCAAGAAGATGAACATTTCTGCAGACTCGCTTTGAAGTTTAAACTTCTACGGACATCAAATTCGACCATCACAATGGTCAAGAAACCAAACTGCTGAGGATCGTTATACCTCTTAGTTCCTCCCACGACTATTGTTTGTGTACTATTACCTTCTTCTTTTTGGAACACACATAAACTTAATGTGAAGAATCGGTAGAAGAATATTTTCCATGAAAAAATAATTTGATGCGTTCACTGGTCTGGAATCTAACAAATTTCTCTTCCTAGAGCCTCCTTAACTCTAATTCAAACAATTTGGATGACGCGCTTCTTTTTCGAGTAACTACGGTACTACTCACATTTTGGAACACGGTTTTTCAGTCATAAAGCTGAACAAAGATAAAAATCTGAATAATATTATGCAATTTGCTTCATTCGAGTCAAATGGTTAAAGAGCTTGTATCTAAAATTCAATGACAGCACTCGCATCATCCTTCAACTTCGCGAAACGAGTAGAAGACGGGACGCTATACATACAAGCGTTTGAATGTATGACTTAATATTAATAATAAGGCTTGCTTAAATGTAACTTTAAATTTGTCGATCTCCAATATAAATATATAAATCTTGGTACTAGGCGAAGATGAAAATTAGAAAAATAACTTTACAAGGGTAACTTAAAATGAAATTCTTTTTTAGTCAAGAGTATGTGACTTCATATCAACTCACATTATTTGAATATTTATGATGGGAAACACTGTAATTGAACCGAAGAGAATCGAATTCAAAATACATTTGCACAGTCCATGTTTATCAATCCAAATAAATTCGGTACAAATATTAAACAGAAATAAATAATTCCACTCCCATCCTAACTCGGAACTATCGTCAAGCTTTACTAACATCTTTCGTCGTTCAACGATTGTTAACAGGGAGCACTGGCCCGAGCTGAACTTAAATTGGTGAGTTGACGAAGAAAATCGGGGGAATCGTCGGATCCTTTGATCGTAAGCGGTGAAGCAGGAGTTTCTTCAGTCGTCGAACAAACACAACAACCAGCCATTGGGCCGTGGTCGAACTCGCTGTTAATTGCACGGAATAATAGATAGAAATAGAGACGAAGAATTACACAGATAAAGGAATCTTGACAAACAGAAATAGAAACGAAGAATTACACAGATAAAGAGTAAGACGAACAGAGAAGCTTGAATAGGGAAAGAAGAAGCAACGAAAGAAGAAAAATGGCCCACGAAAACGGTATAAGCGGTGACGTCGATTCCGAGACGGTGGAATTGAACCCCCTGAGAAGAACGAGGTTTCACGTGAACCGTGTCGATAGTCTCGAAGGTCGTGCCAGTCTTCTTGGCGAACAAGAGACGAAAAAGTCCCTCAGGCACATGACCAGGGAGGCGTTGCCCAGGCTGGACAATTACAGGAACATCATGAGCATCCAGGCCGCTCACAGGCCATCCTTGGACGAGCTTCACAATCCCACTCTGCTTAACAAGGTAAGGATGATGATACTTGACCATTAATAGGACCACTGGTTCTTTGTTTTACGATGCGTCGGTAGTTGTACTCATTACGGTCGCGATCGTGTGCCATGTTACGCGCTTAGTACTTCTTTCCAGCTTGGTAAAGTTCTTCGAGCACGCGACGCCTTGCCGGGTGTTTCCTTCCGGTAATTTTAGCGGGAAGTAAACATTTTCCCGGCGGAAATCGCCCATTTCCTTAAGCCTCTGTTCTACTGGCTTCTTACCATTTTGGAAGTCCAAAGAGAAAGAAAATTTCAGCGCTCGAGATTTGCTGAACGTTTATGCTATCTTTGTTTTAATTAATGTACTATGTATTATGCTTCATTAATTAATATATTTTAATCGATTCATATTCTTCTGTTTTCGATGATTTTTGTGGATTGTACATTTTTACTTTTCGAATTTATTTGTTGTTTTTAGCCAGATGACCATAATTGCTAACTTGAGAATTTACTAATTCATTAATCGAGAATTAAATAACATTTTTTTTTACACAGTCTCTTTCATTCTTCACAATTGCGAAGTTAGCTAAAATTGCATTAAACTTTATTTACTCGCGCGTTTCCACATTCCTCTGAAATTGTTATCTCATCGCTGTAAAATGCGTAAGATGTTGTATTTGAAGACACCTAACGATTCCCTATCGGTTATTTGTTCAAGAGTCTTGGTCGATCTCGGTAATTCATTTGTATGCAAATACATCTTTATTTATTCAGTAGGTAATATTTTACAGCTGTCTATAGACATAGTACTATCTAACACATTCTTGTGTTGATTATTTCCACTCAGTTTCAAGGAGAGATTTTACAACTTACGTTCCCTTCTAAAACCGAACCATCGTTAGGGCTAGGCCCTCATATAAATTGAAATAAATTAATCTAAACGAACCTAATTCCTAGGAAGGTAACAAGTGGTAAATAAAACGTTCTACGAATTAGTACTAAAACCAATAAAAACTAAGTCGTTCTAATTACATGGTAGAAATATTCACGCTGGAATTGTTCTCTAATTCGTGTCTTCGAGGTCCAAGATGTTGTTCCTGTTGGACAACAGCTAATCTGCGCCAATTGAAGAATCCTTCGAGTCAGTTCTATCTGTTTCGACCAAACGACTATCAACCACGATTGTTTTATAGGAGGCGATATTTAGAAAATCCCGTGGGACGTGATTAGCTAAATGTAAGCATAGCTGAAACGATCGGTGGGCCAGAGTACGACATGTTCGGAGGATCCTAACGACTTGAATCCATTGTCTAGATTGACACTAATGTGGAGTCGACGATAACTCAACTCGGATAGGTTTCAGTTGTCTAATTGCTACGCGATTACTTAACTATGTAAATGATTCGATTGATTTTTAAACGGGGGTTAATCAGTAGACACTAAAAGTTGCTCATCACGATCATCATCTATTGAAATCTGTCATTAGTTACTCATTACCTACTAAGTATTTACCCAACAACTCTATCGACTCATCACTGTCATCAGCTATCCATCATTATCAGCACTCTTAGTATCTGTTTAGTACTATAAGCTACTTATTCCTCTCTGTACGCGTTTCTTTGAACAATTATTCGCTACACTCATTGCTTTAAGTGACTACTCATCGCTATCATCAGCCACACAACATTTTCATCATTTATTTATGAGTTTCCACTAGTTAGTCACCAGTTTCACTGGTACTCCAGCACTCCGAAATTCAATCGAACAAGTTCACATCCATAAGAAAACTCACATGTTTATTTGACACGATAACGAATCCTATTTAAACAAACTTCGTGAATGTGTCGCATATTACAAGCATATATTATGCAAGTTGTTACGCGTAGCACGACAGTATGCAAACGAATGTTATCGAAGTAAGCAACTTTTACATCTAAATATACGTTTGTTCTCGTAATAAGTTGCGTAAACACGGTGATCGTTATTTTTTGTAATTGATCAAGGTAATTAAATGTACGTTTTGTGTCGCTCGTTTTCCATGGACTTTCACATTTACGATTAAGTCGACCCTTGTTAAATAGGAGAATCTTTAGTGCTCGAGTCACGAAAGTGATCCACTGATATTTAGCGATTATTCGTATCGATTTCTGATACGAATTCTAACGAAAATACATACGAATGTATATAATAACTTTCATGGTTTCTGAAGGGTTAAAATAGAACTCCGACGTTTGAACAATTAAAGCAACGCTTGGAAAATTTATAAATACCACGAGAGTGTCTCGTCCATTGAAATATTTAGTCGAGAAATTGATATTCTCGTGTGAGCACTGTCGCATTCTGGACTAGCAGTGAATTATACATTATACTGGTAATTTTGATTCCTCGAACTGCACGGTCTTCGAGCTACCCTGCCAGTGGCACGCGACATTTTTGTCAATTTAGAGTGCAATAATCGTCGATTAACATACCGAGGAGAGGAATTTGAAATTTTATTGTAATGTCGAGGCTACGATTGGGATATTTTAAACATTCTGTAACGATAAAAATAAAGTAATATTAATACAGCAAAATTAATTTCTTTTGTAGTATAAAGTAACGAGAATTAAAAAGTAATTTTAGTTTGTTTAGATCATTCATTCGTACTATTCAAATACATATGAATTATTCGAATTTATTCTAATACAGTCAGGCCTTTGTGACCCGAAACTTTTTTAAGTCGAAGGTCTCTGAAAAACGTCCATTCAACATTTACAAGAAGATTTATATAAATTGACGTCTACAATTCGTATTTATATAAATTGACGTGTACAACTCGAATCTCCGTAAATTGACCTCAACAATTTACCGATTTCTAACAACCTCGACATCAATCGACTGTGATTTGTTCTTGTTTCCTACATTGTGTTCCCTTATGCGATTCCACAGAAAAAAAGGACCTTCCTCTCCTTGTAGTCCATCTATGAAAGGCGAAATTACTCGTAGCTGTCCACATTCTACTTACTCGTAGCATCACATTTCCCCTAATCAAGAACTATTCTTTCTTCCTGCGATGCATTTCATTTCCTCGTCTCTCGTGACGAGCACTCGGTCTCCAATCTTTGCTTTAGCAAAATTGGATCGTGTCGCCGATTTCGAAAAGTGTGTCACGAAGCAAGGAAGAATGATGACTTATCGATAAATTAAAAAAATGTTAATCAAAGTCTGTTGCTAATACATTAATATGAATTATTGAATGAATATGAATGAATGCTAATTGAAGCGACTTTAAGTTCAGATGGATCTTCAGATTTAGCAGAATTCAAAGCATGGAGTAGTACTAAGAGTGAATTAATAATATTCGTATGTTTGCTAAAAATTCCTCGAGTTGTTGGCCAGTAAGTGGGTTCCTAAGGATTCCCTCTTCTACCTACCACCGAGGTTAGCAACCTGTATACAATTATATTAAACGAATATTATGCAATCAGGAAATTTCAGATGTGAAACAATTTATTCCACGAGGTATTGAACTATTTTTCAATCAACCGGTCTTGAATCGAATCCTTCTTGGACACTGTACAATCGCCAAGTGAACGAAGGTGTTGTTAACCCTTTCGCTACGTCAGAATGGATTGTAAATTTAGTATTACTGTTGCATGGGAGTCACGAGTGTACACTTTGCCGCATACACGATTGGCGCTCGTTACTTTGTTGCATCATGCAATTTATTAGTAACTTATTCTCGACTTAGCAATGCAACGGCTCGTCGCGCGAGGCGATTACGTTGCGGCTGTCCATTATAATGTCGTTGAAGTGGCTGCCCGCAACGAAAGGGTTAAGAACACATGTCAGAACCTTTGTGATCCACCAAGTGAAAGAATCGTTTTGGGAGACCCTTCGTAATCGTCCTATGAAGGAGAACACTTCCACCTTTTACTGCAATGGTTTTGCAAACTATTTGAAAAGGGATGTTCTTTAACAAAAAAAAAAATAAAATTTAGGTACCTATGATAAATGGTCGATTCAACACGTTCACCACCCATGTATGGGTGACAGTGCTTCACATGAAGAATTAAAAAAATTAATTCTGCAAGTAAAATGTCAAAGAAAATGTATTCGAATGAAATATTTGAATTTCGATGAAGTTTTTAATAATCTATAAACAAAGTTTAATCGCAGTAGAAATTTTCAAGAGAGTCAGTCAACGTGTTAAAACGATATAAGAAGAATATCCGACACTTGTTCAACTCTAACAAACGACTGAATTACAGAGTTTGCCCTACTTTATTTTAGAGTACAGAATAAAAATTGCAAATTCATACCTAAAAATCAAACCAAACGAATTCTTCCGCCTCTATCCTTCTTCCACAGACTCAACTTGTCCCAGACCGAGCAACAGAAGAATTCATTTGTTTCTACACCTCCAAATAGCCAAATTTGCGATTTTTATTCACCATTCACGATCAATTGTACCCAATTTTGATCCTGATAGCCCAGACATAAACGGTGGAAGTGTACGCGCGATAAAATTGAAATATCAATCGTAAATCCGAATTGTGCCTCATGCATTGCTTAACGAGAGTGTCAATAGGACCAGTAAAACGCGTGCTCCGAATACATTACGAGTCGAGGGATAAGCGTTTGTTATTATTTGACTATTATACCATATATTCAGTCGACGTGTTATCTCCTACACGAGCGCGTGTAACAGTGCGTGAGAAGCGCTCCTTTCCTCGTCGATTCTTTTCTTTTGCGCTCGTAATTCACTTACACGTCGCATGCACTTACGTGCATTCGTGGATCGCATCCGACGTGTATGATCCTAACAGCAGCAACGAACGAAGTGTCTCGTGAGAGTTCACGAGTCTGCAGTACTCTGATTGTAATTTTATGAAATGTTTCTTGGGGCATTGCATTCTCACGTTTCTTCCATTGGCGAACCTACGATGTGTTTGTTATAAAAGAAAGGTGTTCGAAAAATCTGAAAAATTTTCAGTGATTAAATGAAGTTCATCGTTAACGTAATCGATCCTTGTAGTCGTGAAATAGATATTTTTATAGATAGTGCTTCTGTTAGTATATAAAGAGAATTAATAATTATTTTTTCATGGTTTTCAAGGCATGGGAAATTTTGACATATAATTGATTTGAAGAAGTAGAATAGATAAGGGTTACAAAAGGTCTAAATATATAATGAAATTATAATCCGTTCTATGAATATTTTAGTTATTACGTTTTCCTAATTACGTCTCCTGAATAGGACTTGTATAATAAACCTCTACATTGAGGAAGTGTCTTGTACTATCTCTATATTGTCGTAATGTCAATAAAATTACGTCTCTTCAGTAATTTCTCTCATTAACTTGTTGTTTACGCTTCTGGAGGTACACGAGGCGTTACATTGTCAATCATTACGCGTCACGTTGTTAAAAAAAAACATGACGCGCAATTAGTATGCAAATTTCCGCGATGAAAATTAAAACGATAAGTCGATAATGCCACGTCCAGTTCATAATTTTCTTAAAATAGAACCTTCTCGGACCTTATTAATATTTAACCACTTTTACTCAAATTTAGAATCATAATTGTGATAGAAACCGTTTATATTTTATTAGCTCTTTCGTAGTATTATATCTGTGTATAGCATACTCGATAGACTTATAGTTGAAGGCTCATTTGGAAGAGCTAACGAAGTATAAACCGTCCCTGTTACGTAATTCGAATTTGATAATAATTCAAGTGAAAATGTTTAAATTGATCATTTTGGTCTATCATAAAGAACGTAAATTTATATTAATTTTATTATGGTAGGAATTTTTTAAAAATAAAATTTGTAAAATAGGGGACTCGACGAATAGTCTCGATACGAAAGTTTGAAAAGTACGAACGCGTTACTTTTTCACAGAGGGTAAGCTGCCGCGAGATTGGCTCCGCGCAGACGTGTAAGAATAATTTTGCAATTATAGCCGAGTCCAAGGCACGATATTCGAGGATATAACAGGGAATAATGGGATGAAATAATCGTCTCTCTAAAAGCTATAAGCCAGTTGAGAAGGCTTGCGTACCCTTGAACCGCCTGATGGTCGTGCTTCTCTTCTACAAACACAGTTTCGTGGTCGAAGGGACCAGATATTTCAAAATCTTTAATGGTTGCATTTTATTTTGCCCGATCACGAAGTGAGAATACCTAAAACTCTTAATTCGATTTTTATAATTAACCATACGTTGGATTCATACCCATATAATTGTTTTTGCAAGCCACATCGATGAAGAGGTCTGTCAAAACACACAAAGAATCTCAATTCCAGATGACTTTACCATTGAGTTTCTAAATAAACAATAGCAATGTACATTTTTCAAATTCTCGATTGAAGTAGGCGTTCTTTTCAAGGAATAACCTTCGGAGAATTTTATGCGTACAATTCTAATCTACCCCTAATCTCGACGACTTCGCCATGACTTCTGAGGGCGTGATCCGATTATTTACTACATGTTCCGTCGCTTCTAAGGCTTCCAGAAATGTTTGTTTGGTCAAGATCAATGCGTATTTAGGATTCATGTTGATTCTTGGAACGAAGTATTAATCTCTCTCGAACCTCGACTCTGAGAACGTCGAGGTTGTTATTCATACTGCACGTTGTTTAAACGCTCTACAAATTAATTGTACTTTTCTATACATGGTGCACTATTTAGTCGGTATTCCATAGGTGTCAACGATTGCGCTTTAATTGTTTTACAATATCTTTTGTAGACCTTCTTTAATTTGCTTATGAATTCTACTTGCTACCAGTGTAGATGGATTTAAAAAAAGGAATTAATACTTCATCGTTTAATAAAGATTATTAAATATCCTTTTTCGAGTTCTTAAGCAACCTTTCGACCGCGACCCGCGCGATTTCCAAGTCGAATTCCTAAAAAGTATCTCAACATTGGGCGACGTGTAATATACGACATGTGAGGCATTGTTACGTAAATCGTTAGTCTTCATTGGTCGACTGGCGACCCTTCCTCTAGACGAATCACCTTCAATGCCGATAACCACCTCTAAATCTCAATTTACGCGTAACGCTCACGTAGAGAGATCTGCAGATCTCTCGGCAAGTTCTCCAGTTGAATTCTATAAATACTTGTTTATCCCGAATAAACGCTCATTGGACGAAAGTTTATTCATAATCGTAACGAGCACCGCCAAGTTGTAGCAAAAACTTGGCGTAACGAAACGAAGATAAACAATTCGTTGCTCTCAAGTTTTTGCCACGACTATTTCTTTTTTTTTTCTTCGTTGCTCGTCGAGCAAAAACTAAAATTTGAATTGCAGAATGAAGTTGCACTTCACGTGGGATGAATGGAGGGGGGTCGTATTTTATTCGAAAGGTGTGTAACAAATAAAACGAACGTTTTGATTTGAAACGTCCATTCGATTGCATTTATAATTGGAATTTTCAAGTGTCCATTGCGAAATATTTTATTCTATGATTCAAATTTTGTTGCCTATCGCTGAGAATAAATATAATACTTATTCGTAAGACTCGGAGGTACGATTTATCTTCTGAATTTGCTAATTTAGAAACTGTACGCGTTTTAAGATATTTTTATCGTGAAGATTTCAATACTATTTTCTTACTTAGATTAGCCCACTTAGGATTATAAATTCCTACGTGAACTACCGCAGGGGACATTATCATTGTAATTTGCGAATATCAACGAATAATGTTTACTACTCACTTATGAACTGTTGTTTCAGGGCTCAGGCTCGCACACTTTGCCCATAGCACACGTGAAGCCATCGACGTCTGGGTTCAAATTCGGATGGATTCAAGGAGTTTTGCTGCGATGTCTTCTGAATATTTGGGGGGTGATGCTCTTCCTAAGACTCTCCTGGGTCGTAGCTCAAGCGGGCACAGGTAATTAGTTAACCACCAGTGGACGTTTCTTAGAAATATCGTCAGTCACACCCGCAAGTGTTTCTTGGAAACTTCCAAGTGTTCTTCGAAATGAAATCTGAAACTGTTCTATCAATTGTCTCTATATTTGTATTTCTTGGTACCAGACTTCATGGAAATAGTGTTAAGAATAAGACACGTGTACTGAAGAGATTCATTAGAATCTTGGATGAACTAAGAATTAGGTTACTCTGATGTTTCACTATTCAGTAAAAAATAAATAAATAGTGAAGACATCAGAGACCAGTGTACTTTTAATGACAGAATCAGTATTTAAAAAAAGTGATTTTTGAACATTATTTTATTATTGGTATACAACTATGTCCCCAGAATAAGAAAATCGTGGCTTGAATGAATGACATAATTCGTTAATTAATAGTAAATTATTTTCTCTCGTGGTTTCAGGGCAAGCTATTTTATTGATTTTCACAACGACAGCCGTGACCACTATAACATCGCTATCGATGTCGGCAATTAGTACAAATGGGCTCATTAAAGGAGGTACAGAATGTTAAACAAATCATTTGCTTAAGAGGGCAGTCTGACAACTCTATGAGTTTCACATTTTTATTTACTATTTATTATTCGATTAAAATTTATCTTATCTTTAATTCTCCTCTTGGTCGATCGATTTACGCGTGGCACTTGCTCAGAACGGAATCAATTGGCCGTTCAAGGTCAGTAGCGAGCCACCCCCACCATTATGTCTGCTGTTCTGCGCAATCCACGGACGCACACACTCTCAACGTCGAGTAGAAGTGGGAGCTGCGTATGACACTATTCACGGCCAGGGTGATGGCCTTGAACGATCAATTGTATTTGGCACGACTGCGATGAACTCGCGTCGTTACCAGATCGATGGGATTAATTAAACATTTCCCGCAGGTGGCACGTATTACATGATTTCTAGATCATTGGGTCCAGAATTCGGTGGATCCATAGGTTTGATATTCTCGTTGGCGAACGCGGTAGCTTGCGCAATGTACGTAGTTGGTTTCTGCGAAAGTATGGTTGATTGTCTCAAAGCTAACGGGATTTGCATCGTTGATTGCGATAACACAGATATCAGAATTATAGGTCAGTGGTTATCGAATTTTTTTGTTTGCTTGTCGTACATAGGTTTCATTACTTTTTTTTCCCACAGGTTGCATCACGATAGTTCTGCTTCTTTTGATCGTGATGATCGGTTTGGAGTGGGAGGCAAAGGCCCAGATCGGTTTGCTCGTCATACTCCTTGTAGCTATTGTCGATTTCATGATAGGCACTTTTATTGGCCCTAAAGACGACCACGAGAAAGCCAAAGGATTTATAGGGTACAATGGTAATGGCTCTAATTGCTCGCAACAAATAATCATTAGGCATCTATAAAACCTTAGATTCTAAAAAGAAATTTTATGATAGAGCCATTAGTAACTTTCTATTTGTTTCTACATATTGATAATACATATTGATAACAGGATTAAATCAGATACAAAATGTAGACCTCCATTTTGAGTCACTTAGTGTTATAGGGGCTTAATCATTGTATATATATTTTCTATATACTTGTAATAAGTTATTGTCGGAAATCTTGAAAAATGCAGCAGACTGTAACTTTCAAATGTTTGTTTTTTATGTGTACTGCAGCTGAACTGTTCAAGGAGAACTTTTATCCGGACTATAGGTACTATGAAGGTGTGGAACATAGTTTCTTTTCAGTCTTGGCTATATTTTTCCCAGCGGCAACAGGTATCCTGGCAGGTGCGAATATATCCGGTGATTTGAAGGTGATTTAGACCTTTCGTCTATAGGGTATATCCAAATACTGTTATCGTTAAGATTGCGCGTGATTACTATCAGCGATCATTCCTTATCATTTGCACACACACAGCATACACTTTTACACTGCATGAATCGTTGAAATATTCAAATAAGTCTCAAGAAAATTCCACTCATCTAGGTTATTTATATTTTTACTAGGACCCACAAACAGCTATTCCCAAGGGAACGCTGCTGGCAATTCTTTTGACAACGATTTCTTATTTTCTTATGGCACTAATGGTAGGAGGGTCGGTTATGCGAGACGCTTCGGGCGATGTTAACGATCTATGGAACGTTTTTAATAGTTCATACGCTGCTATACCAAATTTCAACGCAAGCAACGGGACTACAGAAAGCACCATTGCTACTGTTAATTCGAGCGAAATAGTTTGGAGTATATATGGCACGAAATTTAATTGTACTGGCAATTGTCCTTACGGTAGCCACAATAGTTTTCAGGTATTTCATGCAATATCTTACAAAAACTTATAAAGAGTCACATATTTATTGTATCGTATAAATAAACTCCAATTCTTTAGGTGATCGAATTGGTCTCCGTGTTTGGTCCCATTATTTATGCAGGATGCTTCGCGGCCACGCTGTCCAGCGCTTTAGCATCATTGGTTTCCGCGCCTAAAGTATTCCAGGCGCTTTGTCTCGACAAACTATACCCTGGAATCGCATGGTTCAGCGGCGAGAAAGACAAAGAACCAATTCGTGGCTACTTTCTTACATTTGTAATCGCCGTCGGTTTCATTTTAATCGGTAAATGTTACGATCTCTTACAAATAAATTAAAAAACTAATCGATTACTCTCCTCTGTTACAAATTTCCTTATCGTAAAGCGTGACTTTTCTTTCAGGAGAATTGAATGCCATAGCTCCTTTAATCTCAAACTTCTTCTTGGCTGCCTATACCCTCATAAACTTCAGCACATTTCACGCTTCGCTGGCCAAACCAATTGGTTGGCGACCAACGTTTAAGGTAAACATTTCGTTGTATTATTTCTCGAATAAAAACAGATCACTCACTCTAAGGACGACATTCTTTCGTTTCAGTATTATAACATGTGGCTAAGTCTCGCTGGCTCTATTCTCTGTGTTTCTGTGATGTTCCTGATCTCATGGTGGACAGCTTTAATCACTCTATGCGTAGTTTTAGCGCTTTACCTAGTAGTATCGTACAGAAAACCAGGTAAATTATTCGTGTAACTACTTTGATAGGTAGTATCAGGTTTGTAAGGATACATAGAGATTTTTTTTTTATAGATGTAAATTGGGGTTCAACAACGCAAGCTCAAACATACAACAACGCTTTGACCGCTGTCCAACAATTAGACAGAGTCGAAGAACACGTTAAAAATTACAGGCCTCAGCTTCTAGTACTCACTGGTAGCCCGAGTGCGAGATCGTCGCTAGTTGACTTTGCGCATCACATTACCAAGAATAATAGCCTATTCATTTGTGGTCATATTATCGAGGTACGAGCCACACTGATTAATTTATAATCCTATAAATTTATTGCACGATGATAACGAGCATATCTTTCGACATTTCAGTCACCGATATCGTATAAAACGCGCAACTCCATGGTCATCAATTGTACTTCTTGGTTTAGAGCTAACAAAATCAAAGCGTTTTATTCTTTGGTGGATGGCGCGAACTTTCAAGATGGTGCCACGTCACTTTTGCAAGCCGCAGGCTTGGGGAAAATGAAGCCTAATATTTTATTAATGGGCTACAAGCAAGACTGGATAACATGCTCGCGGAATAATTTGAATATGTACTTTAACGTGATGCAGTACGTGTTCTCATATAACGCAAAATAGAATATTTTAATTCACGTATTTACAATTAATCATTCTCAAATAATAATTGATCCAAACCTTTACTTTGCTCACGATTTAGTCAGTCTCATAAATATTCGTACCCTCTATGTTTATCGAAGAAATTTGTTTAAATTAAATGGTAAGTTTGATGTTGCCAAGTGTATGCTTGTATAAATATGTTGATGTATACATATATAAACCACTCACAACAATTTTTACGAAAAATATTTATTACAAAAAACCAACATTGATCATTACTTCTTTATAGTTTCAGAAAACTTACACTATTTTACAACATTTAAAATTTGTTTTCCTTTCGCTGAAAAAATAAAACTTCGTGTATAAGCTTATTCATTTGGTAATATCAAACTTATTAATTTAGCCAAACTTCTACAATAGACATAGAGGGTACGAATATCTATGTACTGTATGTAAATCTTCTTAGAAATGGTTGTGCACCTATTTGGATAAGTAATTCGGTATTTAGTAATGATATATTATGTGCTTTTATTTAGTAAAGCCTTGGATATGCACATAGCAGTAGCGCTCCTTCGACTGAGCGAAGGCCTTGACTATAGTGCAGCTATAGGAGACAATGAAGACCAGAAAAAAAATGTGCCAGTTACATTACCAGGAAATCAAAGTTTCTCTCAACTTAGCCAAGGTTGGAAACTGAATTTACAACATTAAAATTTTGCTAGAATTTTTTCATGACACAAATAATCGCTAATAATTGGTATTCATTAACGTAGCAAGTAGCACATCAGACATTTCAATACCCGGTAGTCCAGCACCGAGACGTTCCAGAATGATCAACGAGTACCCTAATCCAACAGCGGAAGATCAACGCGATAATCGACCGAATATCATACCCATAGCGAAAGATATTCTCAACGCCGTGACAAAATTTCAACGTAAACAGAAAAAGGGTACGATAGATGTATGGTGGCTATACGACGACGGAGGTTTAACGCTTCTACTACCATACATTATCAGCACAAGGCGAAATTGGTCGAACAGTAAATTGAGGGTCTTCGCGCTTGCAAATAAATACTCCGAACTGGAATACGAACAAAGAAAGTAAGCGATGAAACATTAAGCTCCATAGACGATAGCGGATGAAACAAATTGTTGAGATGATTATATTTTTAGCATGGCAAGTCTTTTATCAAAGTTCCGGATAGATTACTCTGACTTGAAAGTTATACCAGATATTTCGAAACAAGCGCAAGATAGCACAAAGAGTTTCTTCGATTCGTTGATAGCGAACTTTCAACAAACGGATGACCCTAAAGCGACAGATGATGGTACTATCGTTTTAATAATGTTACATGATATATAAGATGCCAACAGAGTTTTATATCTCTCAAATTGACCGCTTATTTTCTTCCAGACGTCATTAAAGATTCGGAACTAATTGCTATGAAAGAGAAGACGAATAGGCACTTGCGTTTACGAGAATTGTTACTTCAACATTCGATGGAAGCTAATTTAGTCGTCATGTGAGTGGCAGAGGATTAGTAATCGTCGACTTTTGGTGGAACATTTATACATTTATGGGATATTTTTCAGGACACTGCCGATGCCTCGAAAAGGTGCTGTATCGGCAGCTCTGTACATGGCCTGGCTAGAGGCTCTAACTCGCGATATGCCACCATTTTTACTTGTACGAGGGAATCACACATCCGTTTTAACTTTTTACTCTTAATGACACAAAAGATGAGGAAAACTTGTATATAACGACGTCGACGATTGTCGAGATTAGTTGAAGAAGTGTTCTATTAATAACGACTTAAACACTATAGGTGATATACAACAATAAAAACGTGCCTTTATACGCGAAAAGGCACACGTTTGAATGAGGTATTGGTCGAGAGTGCGTGAGTTTACCAAGGACCAATATTTCCGAGTATATTTTAATAGAATGAACGTAGCAAGACTGTGTTATTTTTTTTAAACGCATGTTTGCTACAATAATTGTTTCTAAATTTTCGAAATGACGTTTTCCATCCACCAATTGTAAAAAAAAAAAGTAATTATATCTTTACAAATACTTAAAATAAATGACCATGTTTAGATATGTAACTCGTAAGATCACCGATAACATGTTCCGCACATTTGCTTACAATTATTCAAAATTTAAGTAACGTGTATCATTATTTTACGATATTTAAATTTATGTAATTGTACAACCGACAATCACTTCGCGTAAAATATTTTTAACGACGGTACTTTGAATAAATTTAAGCGAGTGTGAATTTTCTTGCCATTAAAATTTGAAGAAAAATGAAAAAATACTAGTCTTAGGTTTAATATTAAAATTAAAACCCGTATGTATTCGTATTAGATCGTAAAAATTATGTACAAAAGTTTAAATTTTGATTACATCGTAGTTACTACGATAAGTCATTCGTTTATATTATTGTGGGTGTTTTGTGAGAACGTTTTTAAATAAATCAATTATTTTAATAATTAAGCTAACATTGAATATTTCTACACACACGCACGCGCGTTCTTCCATTTATACGGGTAGGGAGAGTCATGTGGTGAAAAACTAGACTAAAAGGTCTAGTGGATATCTTTTATTTTGTTTACAACTTTGTAGCCTTATACATTTCGGAGAAATTGCAATGAAATTACACGGAATGACGGCTAAATCTAATGTTACACATCGTGAACATGATCGTACAGCTGTGTTCTTACCATACTTTTATATTAAAAAAATGAGTAGAAAACTTATGAAAACGAAAGAAACATTTAAATTAACACGAAATCGTGCATATTAAAATGTATAAAAATGTAATAAAATTACTTAAATATTGTCATGACTTTAAAAAATATCAACAAACCACTGCATCATGATATTGTAAATTGTATTAATATTCTATAGACATTGTAAATTTGCCAAAACACTTTAAGCTTGCTGTAATATATATATACATTTATATATATATATATATATATATATATAATATCAAGTTTATTACATAGAAATCTTGTCTTTTCTGTTTAGTAGACTCTTAATTGTGTAACTTTCTTTAATGTGAATCAGCACATTAACTCTTAACTATCAGTGCTTTTATATATTATTAACTTTATAGTATATTATTGAATTATAGAAGAGCTCTATTTGAATATTTAGGTGAACACTTTTTATAGACTAGTGGCAAATGCATTCAAAGATATCAGAATATTGATTATTAATTTTTAATTGTTGTTTTTTAATTATATAACGTAACATATCAAAAGTAGAAGACATTAACTGTATATCGTTATTGTACTTTATCAATTTTGTGATTTTTTTTCCTTTTTGTGCTACCTTAAGAATTCGTTTTGATTTACTTATATATTTTATGAATCGATTTTTCAATATTATACATTCTTGTAAAGAAGAAATTTTGTGCAGTATTAATCACTCCCATATTTTGATACTAAATGAATTTTACGTGAAAGCTGAATTATTATGTCAAAATTAAATTGCGGAATGTTAGAAAATTGTTTTTTCCATGAATGACAAGATATAAACCATGACTTTGAATTATATAAGTCTACAAATTAGGTAAATTATTAAAGTTTCAATATATTATCTCTTCTGTAAATACGTTGAAATCAAATATATTAATCTTTTTTAATTATAAAATCTCTTCTATATTAAGATAATCTTTTTATAAAATAATTATAAAATAATCTTTTCTGTTTGTTAAAGTAGTCGTTAAAGGTTTAGAGCGACGTAAATGCTACGTCATATATGTATTATAGTTTTTTTTTTGCACAGCATTTTGTTAATATATTTCTATTAGAAATATTCAAACTTTTTGTTTTGCGATTCGTACCAATAATCAACGCTAGCAATTTAACATTTTTGCTAGGTATGTCATTTTTGGTTTAAATACTGCGAATGTGTCTGGGTCTACGTACCAATAAGCAACAAGAAGTTAAACCAGAACTAACCTTTGCTAATTCGGACATGTGTAACGATCTGGTTGGAAACCCGATTTTTTCTGCAAAAACTTTACTCGACTGTGGAATTTCATCTTCAGATCGATGAATCAACGTACCGTTGACGTAAAGTACGTTAACAGCAGCGTCTTCAGGCACAGTTAACGTTTGATAACCGTACGTCGCCTCCCTTTCAATTCTCTGCAAGACAAATAACACAAATAAAATTAAAATATAAATTCGAAATGATATAAATGCAAGATGTAACATGTAATTAGGTTTGACAAAAGTACCTTCAAAACTTCTTGAGATTCTTTTCCAGCACCCACACAAATAATGTCAGGACCAGCCATTGTAACTAAAGCTTTGAGGCGTTTAGATTCCGCGACCTATAAGCAACAATTAAACAAGAAAAAACTTTTGTAATCACAAACTATTCAAGGGTTGAAATCTTCATGGCTTCTAAATGGTTCCCGCGTCTTCTTACAGTTCGTTACCATCCGGAAGTCATCGCAACTACAACGCAAAACAATACGCGCGAAAGTCTTAAATTTTAAATTCGAATTGTAGTATCAAATGCATAAATTAACTCTTTTTATTAATATATATATATATATATTATCCTAGTATTTCCACTACTTTATTTAATTTTTATCAAAAGACTATAATTTTAGTTCCAATGATACACTTAAAACATAATTTTCATTTTTTTTTAATATCAGAGTTTAGAATTACGCCGATTTCAATGTAATTTTTATCGTGAGTTAATTTTTTGGAATATTTAGATACAATGTGCAGGCTAATTAATAAAAAATAGCGTCCAGCTTTTTATGGCATTGTAGTGGGAAAAATATTTAATCAAAGTTAATTTATGTGCAATATTTTGAACTTATTTTGATTTGTGTTCGTTGTACGTGTTCAAAGCGAAGGACAATGTCATCTTGATCGATCTTTGAAAGTGAGTAATAACGTATTAAAACGTGAAATTAACAATCGATGGAAGTTGCACTGTGTAAAATACTACATGATATACTTATGCAAATAAAGATAAATTATAATAAACGTGCGAAAGTGAAGAAAAATGTGTTTTCGCGTAGACGTATATGTGTACGTGTGTGTGTGTTCCGTGTGCAAAGTTGCACCAAGCCATAAATTCTTTTGCACAAAAGCATTTTGTTGAATTCTGCGATAAAAAAACATCTATTTCCGAATAAACTTGTTAAATTCGTGCGGATTTGTGTTTCTAAATTGTGAGTTTTTCTCAATGGGATATGCAAAAGAGAGTCAGTCTAATACACCCAAACCTGAAGAGGGGCTGAGGTAAGACTCTCCACTATCACCTCTTCGCCACCATCACCCACCTTAAATGAACATCAAAATGGTAAGTTATACGACCTCAACATGATTTTCTTTTTATCAGTCATTCTTTGAACCCAGTGTATATACATATATGCAAATTGAATATGTAATTTCGAATTTACATATTCAATCCATACAGAATGTGCTGTAAACGAGTCGTATTAATATTAAAGAACAAAACATGTAAGAAATTTATAGATAGCTAGAAGAGACATAATGTAACCATATAAAATGGGTGGGTCATGATAAGAGTATCAGTTTCATTCGTATTACTATTATACAGAGAAAACAATAATTTTAATTAGCTTAATTATTATTGTCATTTTTAGCAATATATTCATATCTCTAAGAGTGACAGAGATACTTAGCTTTTAAAATAATTGCCCTATCGTACACAGTAACACAAATAAATTTGATTCATGAGATTTTGCATAAGAACTAAAAGAACACTACAAATGTTAAAGCATGATTAGCTCAGTTTTTATATTTTCAAATAAGATTTACATTCATAGCATCCTAGTTCGTATACATATAATACTATATGATCACATTCAACTTGTTAATCTATGTTTTTATAATAATAGACATTATACTATATAAATATGAAGAACATATAAGAGGAAAATATTTTTCTACAGCAAACAATCACAGTACACATACACATTTTAAGTTCATGATAATACATGTAGTTATCGTGGACACAGATCATAGTATGCAACAAAAAGTTCTGACAAATTTTGAAGAAAAAAATGTGATATGCAAGGAATATAAAATTAGTACTTTATTGAGTAGTTCATGCATTTGTTTTATATCACTAAAATACATGTGGCAACAAAACAACATAAAGAGATAAGTCAAGCTCATGCTCATAGCTAATGAGAATTTATTCAATTTTAAAACTTCTTTGACTTTTACAAAAAATTGGTTCTATTTATTATTGTAAGTCAAAAATGTTTTAAAATTAATTAAATGTACATTGGCTACAAACATGTGACTAATTTATTTATATCATAAAAACAATAAAAAAGTAGAAATTAGTTTCAATAAGTAGGGCAATAAGGAAATCATTTCATGATACATCTTGAGAAAGCAGAGAATTATACCAGGTACATTGAATTTCAAATGCATTATTTAAAATATCAACCAACCTTGATTGGTACACAGGGGTATTCTGGAAATGCTGCTGCAACTGCTCTTGCACCTGCTTCATTTGTGTAATGAGAGAGTCCAACAAAAAATTCACGACCTACAACAACAAAATCAGGAAAACAATTGTTTTACTATTTTGAATAATAAATTAACAAACTGTGAATCAAATCTTGGGGATTATTTACCAGTAAATAAAACATCTCCTCCATCCAGACGGGCATTTTTATCTGCAATTTCTATAAGTGGAATCTCCAATTCCTTCTTTAGAACAGCTCTAATTGTCTCAATCTGAAATTAGATCATCACCTTTTCAGTCACTCATTCAATGGGAACATTGCTCAATCTGACGTACAATGATACTCCCTAACAAAGCCTAATTTGCTAATAGTTTTCTTTATACAAATACAAGAAAGTTACATAAATGTAAATTGAAAATAGCAAAAAATTAGATCAATTTAATGATTCACTATTCAATAACAACAGAGCCGAATGCTTATGATTATGCTACTAGTAAACACGTTGTTAGTAACAGAATGCTTTATAAAAATTATTCCCTCTAATTGTTGATTTACAACGAGAAAATATGTCAACGAATGCAAAGTGTAGAAAGTGTACCTCTTTTAGGCGCGATGGCTCATTAGGTCGAGCTATAAGCGCGATGCCATTGCAAACAACCGCGATGTCTTCTACAAAAACGCAAAGTGGCGAATTTTCGTCCGGCGGCATTTCGACAACATCGATGTCCAGTTCTCGTAAAAGTTGAGCCAACGCCAAGTGTTGCGTTCTTGCTTCGTCTAATGTGACCTCGCCTCTCGTACGAAGCGAAAGAGGAATTCTGCATAAAACCGCGTGAGTGTAACGTTGAAGAGGCATGGCTTGTCGAGAGTTCAGACTTTTTCCTATTTTTTATTATTATGGAACAACCACCGACTAAATTATCCCTTCCGGCCAACTTTAGCAGAACGCCGCAAATGTAGACTTTGACGTTTACATAAAAACAACAACGAGGCAGTGTTCTCAATATTTGCGGTCATAATGTCGCTAGATTGTAAACTAGAGCTGAGTGGCGGGAAAGTTACTAACACGCGTTATAATTCTTTTAGCAAATTAATTCTTTTAGACCATACGATCTGTTAGAAATTGTTTTCCCAATACTTAGTAGGAATAGCACAAAAATTCTCCCCTTATATTTTGATGTGTTGTTACATAGATTTTTACATAGCCTAACCTTTGCATTGTGAACGGGGTATAATGGATTGATAACGTCAGTTGAAAATGCATTTAAGCATGTGGAAGCATGTATGAGAGGTATGAAATATCGTAGCCTGTCAAATATTCGAACGTTATTTAGAGGTGCTATGACAAGGAAATTAAGTGAAATAAAATTTGACGTACGATGATAGTGCAGAATACGCGTTAATTATGCGCTTTAAATTTGTAAAAACGTTGTTAGTGCTTGCACTATTAGGTAATATCATAGTATGGTACAGAATATGGAGGTTATTTACAACACAAAACACATTGCGGTTGTTGACACCGAGCATGGTAACACCTGATCCTCCGCAAAAATTTCATCGTCGATTAGCTCGATTGGTAACTGTGGTTATACGACAGTTTGAAACCTTTGAGAACGATGTGACTTCCACTGTAGAGTCTGTATTAGAATTCTTTCCTACTATACCAATTTTAATAATATGTAATGAATTACCGTATCCTCCTTTGGGACTGGATTTCGCCAATGACAGTATGCAAAATGTTAAACTAATAAACCTGCAACCAGAGTTTAACACATCAAATGACGAGAGAAATCCACTTTTCTATGTGCGTACTAAGTATGTTTTATTTTTACCTGATGCAAGTCGACTCTCCACCAAAGAAATCATGCAAGTAAGAAACTTCATATGTTTTTCATGGTGTAAAGATTGTTAGTGGGCTTTAGAACTATTTTGAAAGTTTTATTCTATTAGGATATAAAGTTATCTGAATAAATATTGATGGAAAATTAATTTCTTATAGGAGATTATGTCACATGTAGCAAAGTTAGGGATAGTAATTGTACCAGTTGGAGGAGTAAGTTTGAGTTGTGTTGGTATAGATTTAAAAGTAAGAGAATGGAGTCTCAAGTTTACACAAATTAAGGGCACCAAGTGTGATGGTGTGAATGGAAAGCATGCTACAATGCTTGAAACAAAGTTATTAAGGAAATTGACTGATCCTTTCCTCTTACCTTTCACGGATGCATTATACATTCAAACAACAGCAATAGGTGCAAAGGTTTGTAATTTGTGTCTGACTGTACTTTTAAATTTATAATATGTTTCTTTCCATTTTTGTTGAAAGTTGAAAAATGAGTTCTTTTTTCAAAAAACTGTGATCTTTATTCATTTGTATTTATAGGATTTTATTTAGTTTAAAATTTCAGATCAAATGATAGTTAAATAGTATCTTCATTTATTTTATCTTTATATTATGTATAATGATACATATTTTTAAATCTTCAGTGATTCAATTTATTAGGTGATGTATTATATGTTAATAGATTCACATCCTAACAAATTATCAATTCAATGAAGGAAGATCACTATATAGAAATCAACAATCTCAGTGGAAAGTACAACAACTGCATCTATATCGCGAGAGACTAATGTTTGAGAGTTTGGGAATTAAAAAGGTCATACGAGATTCTAATTCCATAGAATGGTATGGTTGTTCAAGGGAAAGTAGTAGGTGTTTTGGATCAGTTGTAAATGGTGTTCCATCATATATTTATCAAAAACGATATACACCACCTTGTTGCCTCTCAGGATTAAGAAAAGTTGCTCATCATGTGTTTGATAAATTAGAAGAAGTTGGTATCAGATTTTGGTTAGAAGGAGAATCTTTACTTGGTGCTATGAGAAACGGTGATATTTTACCATGGGATCATGAAGTACAAATAGGAGTAAATCGCGATGATCTTGAACGATCACCATGGATAATTAAAGCCATGAATAAGCCCATTGAGGATAATCATGGTTTTGTCTGGGTAAAGGCAACAGAGGGAGAATTTTTTCAAGTACAGTATTCAAAGATAAATCATTTAAATGTAAACATACTTCCATTTTATGCGAGAAACGGTTCTATGGTTAAAGACACATGGTTTTTAAATCATAAAGATTTCCCAGAACAATTTCTTCATCCAATGTCGAGTATTGAATTCGCCGGTAGACAAGTGCCATGTCCAAACAATATTAGGGATTTTTTAGAATTGAAGTATTTTAAAGGTGTGATAGAAAATCCAGATATCCCAGGAAAAATTTCTTTCTAGGTTTTATATTTATTGAAATTTAATCTTATAGTAAATGATATACGCAACTAGAAATACAGAACGATTCTTTATTAATATGCAATTGAAATTATATAAGCAGGTATCTACAAGTATAATAAGATTTTACAATTTTTTCTTACCACTTTAAATATCCGAATTAATATCTTCTACTAAGAAATTAAATTAGGACTGCATTATAGTGTTTTCAAATGAAAAATATTATTTTCCGATATTTTATAAAAGTTGATGCAATTGTATCATAAAGTAAGAATTATTATTAATTTTGACTAGGTTTCGAGTATAAGAATAAAAGGAAGCGGTTCTATGTAGATGTTATATATTTTCCCAGATTTTTAATAACTATGTAGGTGTTAACTTAAATTTTTTATTTAAATACATATTTTTTCTTGACATAAAGATTAATTTATCTTCAATTTTATTAATAATAAATTGTCAGATATTGTCTGAAGTTCCTAAAAAAACTTATATTATTTGAAACATAACATTGGAACTTGTTATTTTCCAAGTTTCAAGAAAAATATATTTTGAAATATAGTATTCTATTTACAATTTTTTGCAGATGGGTCTTTTGGTATTACTAATTATAATATAAAAAAGTTATTCACGTTAATTTTACTTTATAAAACGAATTGATGTGCCAAAGATATAAAAATTATTTACATTATAATTTTTTTTTTATTTTTTATATTTTTATATGTTATTTAATTAAACCAGTTGTATAAATTATTTTCTATATTTAATTAATATTGTTTTACATGATACTGATCAGTATCAGTAAGTACTGATGTACAAGATCATTTTTTATTTTATTTATTTTATTATACATCATACTTTTAATATTTATATATATAAATTATACCTCTTGATGATTAATATAACTGTGATATATTATTCCGTTATACAAATGCTTTTCTTTTAAAAAGTATTTAATTTAAACATATCTAAATTGAATATCAAACAATTTTATATTTACAATTGGATTATAGTCGATTTTGTATAAGGTATAAATAATATTTGTGTATTTGTAATTTAAATTACTGTGTAATGTTAGTTCTGAATATTTTGAAAAGAGGTAACAGACACTGTGATAATCAGTGCTGACTATATTCGAGATATCAGAAAATAAAATTTGCATGATGATAATATTTTATATTAAGTTTATATAAAATATTTATGTCACTTAATCAAGACTTTTCTGCATATACAAAAATCATTTATTTGTAATACAGTACAGTTTCATCTTTAACATATTTCTATAATGAATTTTTATTATTAAATATATATTTCATATTTATATTATATATTTATTATTAATATATATATTATCATCTTTTTTTAAATATATGTGAAAGATTTAACTATTCGTATATTATTCATGTTAGCCATTTCTGAAATCAGTAAATTATTCCCTAAAGACATTTGAAAGTAGTGTTTTATTATACAGCTATGTCAGTACTGTTATATGCATGGAATTGCAAGAACATTAATATAAATAATTCTATTTACGAAGCGGTATATTAAAGTAGTTTCATAATCGTTACGAATTGCTTCTAGTCTAGGACACACATGTTGTAGCAAGTCTAGATACTAACTTCAAATTTGTAAATTATAGGAATATTTTTAATGTATTCTAAATTTAGTGCCAATTTGTTTATAAAGATATAGATATTAATATGTATTTTCTGTTATAGCAAATGTTAATAAAATGTTGATGTTTACAAAAAGAAAATATTGTATATTTTTGTTAAAGAACAATCTTTTCAAGTAAATAATCTGAGTATATCATTTTTTACGTATGAATAGAGTATATTATAAAAAACAAAATGTATAGATACATACAATTTTTATATTTTATTTAATTATCTGACTGTCCTTGTATCTTCTGGTGGCACTAAAACAGGAGGTTCTCGTACAAAACTTAATAATTTTTCTAGTTTCATAATTTCTAATTCTCTGTGTGTTAGATGAAGTTGCCTCTTTGTTGGTTTTACTTTTATTCTAAGATTTGGTGACAGTTTTAATGTATTAACTGTGCCCCTATTATCAAGAAATTAACAAAGATTTACCGAAACATAGATACTGAAGTTTAAATTATCAATTGTTTTATTAAGTTAAAAGCAATAAAGTTTAAAGGTATACTTCGTATGTAAAACATACTTACTTATCATCACCAACAATAATGAATGGTAATTCATTGTTAAATGCTAGTCGAGTTAGCTTGTTCTTTTTTCTACTAACAACAGGTTGACTACATATTGGCTTGTATTTATTTACATTTAGATCAAACACTGTAACTTTTCCATCATTTGAAACACAAGCCAAAACTGTTGAACTGTATGGTGCCCACTGGACATCTCCAATTGGGACACCAAGATCAAACATAAACAAAGGCTCCCTATAAACGATTAAACATTTAATGAAGATTACAAAATACATGTGTAATTTAGAAACTTACATTCTATTATCTTCCCATATCTTAATCCTCCAGTCACCTGAACAACTTGCAAATATGCTAGAATTATATTTATTGAATACTATTCGATATACTGGCATATTGTGTGCTTCATTATAAGTTTTCATATAAACACTACTATATGCTGTATTGCATTTATAAATTGTGCCTTCTTCCGTTCCTACTAGGAATACATTTTGATCTGCAGGGTAAAATGCAAGACATGTTCCACAACCTGACAAAATATTAATATAATTTATCAATGTTAAATGGTGTAAAAGGAATGTTAGTCAATATTATTACCTTTAAGTGTAATCATAGTGCCATCTGGCCCAGCTATTGGAGGTCGATCTAGAAACAGTGTCATAACTGTTGTCAAGCCAAGGTCGTTTTGATTTAATATCCAGTAATTTATTTTTCCATCAATGCTAACACTGTAGAATGCCAAATTACCTTCCTCTGTATCTGGTGCCCAGCATACCTTAAGTATTACGCACGATAAATGTTGCATTATTGATTGAATTGGTAAAAAATAGCTAATCTTACACAATTTTACTAGTATTTAACGAACCTCCCATATTATACCTCCGTGTTTTTGAACAACATCGTTACTCTTATATTGTGGAGCTGTTGGTGGTAACATGATATTGTATACAGCTACAGCACCATCCATAGTACCTTAATCAAATGAAAGGAAATTAATTTTATTGTTATAAGAATTGTATCACGCCCCTTTAATTTCTTACCAATAACTAGAAGATGAGGATGCTGGTCACTGAAAGATAAACACATTACTGGTGATTCTATTGGACAGATCCATTCTGGATATGATGGATTTTTTAAGCTAAACAAGCATACTGATCCATTTGTTATTGAGGTATTAAATGACACTGAAACATCATACATATATGTAATTATAGCATACCAAAAATTTAACACTTTTTACTAACTTGTTCCATAAGATACTGCGAACAAGTCATAATATCGGCTATTAAAACATAAATCGGTAACATCATGCTTCTTAGTTTTTTCATAACTAAATTTCCATAAAGGCAATAATGAACCTTCTTCGTCTTTAAATTCGTCGCTTGGATCGTCCCAATATCTGTAATCTAGAAATGTTTACATGTATATTTCATTAACGAAATGTAATTTATGATACAGAAGAAAAATATTGACCTTGAGCTATATCATCGAAAATATTTTGGTTTACCATTCGTTCTAAAGTTTTTGCAGCTTGTAACATTCTCGATGTTAATGCCATGGATTCTGTTTGAGCCGTTTGTTTTGGGTCCTCCTTTTTTGGTTGCAAAAGTGGAATTCTTCTTTCTTTGTCTCTTTCGCGTTCTTTTTCAGCAAAATCTTGCTAAGGCATAAATATATAATTCATATATATACTTTTGTCTATTTAATTAAAAATAAAAATACATGCCTGATATTCGTCAAAGATCGTCCATTGAAAAACGTGAGTATTAAATAATGCTGTTGGTGGAGGTACAGTTTGTGTACTCATTTCCTATAAAATTAACATAAAATCAATTATACAATTTTATTAAATTTATACTTTTATAAACTTACGCGCATGGGATTAGTATAAGTCAATGCAGCTCTTTCACAAAAATTGAATTGATTTGGTATCTTCTTTGGTTTTACTGGTTCTGCCTCTTCCTCATCTGGTTCAATGTCAGGTTCAGGTTCTTTGTGCTCATCTTTTTCAATTTCCTTTTCTTTTGTTAACTCGTCTACGATTATAAAATATTTTCTAAAGAATATGTATTAAAATAGTGATGGGTTCTGTTGTCACTGTTGTTATCCATCTCACCATCTATCTCTTCCATAGCTTCCATTTCTTCCCCTTCTTCTTCATCTTCTTCATCTTCTTCTTCATCTTCATATAACCCAGATATATCATGTTGACTTACTATAATACAAAAAAATTGTAATCATTAGTGAAGTATTAAACTGATTATAAATTTGAGAAATGATTGTTATGGTTTATGGAATCATACCAATAAGTCCACCTGCTAATTGTATTTTTGCTTCATCTGAATCTTTATGCAATATTATTCCTGGTACACTTAAAAGAGTTACTAAGTGTGGTGGAGGAGGTAATTTTATGAATTCTTTTAACTTCCATGACCATTCAACTAAAGAATCTGGAACTCTTGGATTATGTATCGTCAGAATTCTTGCAAACTCTTCTTGCAATTCCTAAAATTGTATGATATGAAAGTGTGGCACAAATAACTACTTGATATATTACTGTAAACATACTTCTTCTGTTAACTGCAATTGATCTTCTGGTTTGAGATACATTCTTGCACGCATCCAATCCGTATCACCACCACCTAGCTCATAACGACTCTTCATTAAGCTTGTGTACTAAATACATACAATAAATCAGTTTTTATTTTGTTATTAAACGTGAAACTATTGGTATTAGAATTTTGTATTATATAAAAACTATGAAATACTAACTCTTGGTAGCTCTTTATGAAGTTCACTAGTTTTGGAGACTGATTTCCTATTTGTTGCTGATGAACGCATTGTTACTTTGCAAACTATCTATTACCCAACTATATATAAAAATATAACACACTTTAGTATCTATATATTTATCTACTGTATTAGAAAAAGGTATTTGTTGAAATTCTTACTTTAAATTTCTTCCAATTTTAAAGAAGAATGTTAATATTGCTCTCTGTACAAAACAACATGATATTTTGTTCTTGTCTGTTATATTGTGTAAACTGACTTTTTGTTTGGCAAACTTTTTAAATATAGTAAACGTATATTCGAAAAATAAACTGAAGTTCACCAAATCCCATTTCTCTTTACAAAATGTAAAGAAATGAATCCTGGTTTCCTAGGAAACATTACATTGCTATAGTAGCACCTGAACAACACCTGTTTCAAATAAAATGTTGTGTCTTATTCTATAATGATGATAAATGATATTATGGTTGATTATAACTACATTATTAACATTTAAAAAAAGACGATACAAGTTTTAAGATCATCTCTTAGTTAAAAAACATTTTTTTTATTTAAGATTAAAGAGAATTGTTTAATATATATTTTATGTATAGTGAATTATAAAATGTTGCTCAGCATAGTTGACTGTAAATTCATGTGCATTTCTTTTAAATGTAGGCGAAAATGTCAAGATTCTGTGTGTGTTATATAGATGAAAGAAAATCAATAATAGAACATATCATGATAATGTAAGCATGCTTGCTCCTTGTAGATAAGACAGAATAATTTACAAATACTTGTGAGTAAAGGCATAAAAACTATATGATATTACGTACATATTTACGCAATAGAATATATATTATTTGTATATTATATTTCAGAATAAATTATTATTTTTGAAGTGCCTGTTTAAAGTACCTGTATACAAAGAATGACAGTGTTTAAACTATAAATGGAATTTATGCATTGTTATTAAATTTCTAAATGCTTAAAGGTATTATTTTCTTAGAAACTGAAAGATTATTCTGCTTGTATGTGGTTATGTCTAACAAAATTTTCGTGCTCAGGTTCAGAAGGTTTTGTGTTTTATTACAGATGAGTTGAGAGAATAATTCTTTAGTTTAATATAAAATTTTATTTTGTGATGGAAGATAGTGGAATTGATAGTGACCCAAAAAGTACTAGTCGTATAGAAGATGAAAGACTCTTTTTGGTAAATATAGAATTTGTTATGACTTGTACACCATTCAATTCACAACAAAATTATCATTACAACTGCAATTGGTACAAATATAAACAGACTAGAAGCTGGTGAACAAAATATAATGCTTCATACTTTTTTAGGGAAGCGATAGTAGCTGCAGCAGCAATCAGACACAAACGTCTCAACATAATTCCACTACTAAACAGCTACAAAAAAAACTTGGTATTACTGCTAACTTTTTACCTTAGTGTTCATCTACGCAGTGTTATTTATAGCTTATTTCATATATTTCTTGTCTTGAATAGAGGCAAGAATTGAGCAGGCAAAACGTATTCAGCGTAATTCAGATTATATAAAGTTGCCAAAATATGATAAGGGATGTAACGGAGGTAATAGTACAACTGGTTTGATATCTATTCAAAGACTTCCTGTACCAAATAAAAGTAAAGAGCATCTTCCTCTTGTTGAATATTGGCATAGTGACAGTGAAAGGTAAACATTAGTTTTTGCATGAATTTCTAATATCATTATTCCTCAAGTTTAACAATTAAGCGTATTAAATATATTCCCTTCAATTCATAGCGAAGGTGAAATGACTCTCTTTCCAACATCTAAGTCAAAAGACTCTTCGAAGCACAAACAAGATTTGACTGATACATTTAGTATTGAAGAACTTAGCGAAGAAAGTGAGGATTCTCTAAATTTAGGTCCTGCACAATCATCTCCAGAACTTAAATTTATGAAATCTTATAGATGCACTAGGGAATGCTTTCGTTGCCGGTGCCATATATTATAATTCATTGTTACATATACGCTTTCAGTGTATTACAGATTAATTGTATTTTATGTATTGTTGATTATCGATTTAATATTTCGAAGTTTCGTATAATTATGTAACTAGAGGGTTCTTAGATATTGATCCATGCCAACTAAATATACTAAGAATTTACATTGGATAATTTATGATTTGCTGATTATTTGTATCTACAAATTAAAAGTTCACTAATGAATTTTATGTATTTAACGTCAATATATATCTTAAAATCGTAAACATTTAAGATGAAAAATTGAATGCAAAGAAACGAATCTAATTATTTCATATATTTTATTTTAGACCTGTTATTATTTTTTTTTTAATTAGTAAAGATTGATTTGAATTTATTATTTCAAGTTTACTGTTTGAAAGATCTTTACAATTTCATTCTTATGGTATATATCAGGTTTCCGAATTTTGTGGTAGGTATTCCTCCTACAAAAAGACGAGGAGATCCGTGTCTGAAGTATGTGGGGTGCTTAAAATTGTAAACGAAAAATATATTCACATTTATCTGCATTTAAAATTTTCTTTTGAATAATAAAACTCTCTTAGGGGTTGTGCCTCTAACTTTAGAAAACATTATACCGTATCAGTATCAGCTATTATCGATATAAATTTGTTTATTACATTTGCGTGCTGATTATACTCATAAAGTATGTCCACGTGTTATGAAATGCTGTGCATATTGATGTGTATATACTTAACTAAGCATAACTATGCGCTTGCGTGTATCATTTTTTTTAAATCTTACTATTGTTTCCCCTTATTCTCTTCCTGTTGATGATGAAGTCATGTATGAGCCATTCCACATAAAAACGCATAAAGTGTGACATCATAGTTACTGACATTTTTAAAACTCGTTGCGTTTATTTACAGTTTTGATGTATTCATTGGTCAGAAAATAGAGCAATAGACCCACACACCACTATCTTTCCTCTCCTGTCCATAATTAATTTAAAACAGAAATAGTGTTTCTTCAAAATGTACAGAACAAATATTAATTGCCGATACAAATAATAATACACAAAATTAAGTCTTCGATAGCTCTTGAGACATATATTTCATCGTGAAAGAAATTATTCAAAATACAGTTTGCATGTTTGCTATTTCCTGCAACATCGGAGAAGTAAGATATCGATTTTAATCAGATGCCATTCGTTAAATTCGAGTTTCCAAAGATAGAACGAGTAAACGAGTACGCGCATGTTCCACGGACCTTTTTTTCCTTCGTTGAGTAATTGAAATTTTCGCGGAGACGTACGAGTCAAGTTTCGCCATGCCAATGAAAATATATTAAGCATGTTTTACGCACTACCGTTGCCACTTTTCATATACAACACGGGCACGAGACAAACAAATCGGTTCACTTACGAGTACGTTTTTTTGGAAGCAATCCCTTTGGTACGCGAGCTTTCTTGTACGACAACAGTTGTCGGCGAATAGGACGTAAATTAATGGCTCGCACGCGTTAAATTTATTCTTCTCTCTGATATTCCGACAAGCTCGATTTTTAATTAAACCTACAGCGAAGGGTCGCACAGGTAGGAATTAACAGCCTCTTGAGGAGGAGAAACGTTTGTCCTGTGGTATTAAAAAGATATCAGGTTTCGATGTATCCCTTCATCGTTTATACGTTAAACATTTAAAAATGTATCATATTCATATGTAATGATATATATTTATAGCATTTAACATCTATTTATAGCGTCTATAAATAATAATAGACAAAATTAAATCTTCGATAGTTTTTGAAATAATATATCTCATTTCGAAAGAAATGATTATAAATATAATTTGCTATTGCGCGTTTAAATTCCACTTTACACGAATTTCCTGTTTCATAAAATTCGTCATTATTTATACTCCACTTATGCTTCGTCTGAAGATGATCGTTATTTCTTCAGAGAGTGTTACCTTTCGTTGTAAATCATACAACATTACCTGATATAATTTTCTGTATGACTTTGTTTAAACTACAGTGTCGAGAGCCTGAATAAAATCGGTAATCGAAGAGTTTACCGAAACAGGCACTGTATACGTTGTGTGGAGTTGGTGACCGTAGTGGTTGTAGTTGGAAACTGATGCACGGTGTCATGATGCATTGCATATGAATATTTAAATGCACCCGGTCTCGCGTATTGCCCTCGTATGTATAATATTATATGAGGGAGACGTAGGCTGCGTCGTCAACACTGTCGGTACGGTCATAAATTAAACGAGAATTACGGCGTATTTTCTAACCAATTTGAAGTAATAAATTTCATCCCTTCGGCGAACGTGACAACCTGTAATGTGTGCGCCGCTAATGTCCCTTCATTTATTCGCGCGTTCCAGACGAAAATGAGAAAAGGAAACGATTCCTGTTCTTAAATGAGATTCCACCCAGCGATGAACGACTGATTCCTGCTGGATGAGCTTGTTTGCGATTGAGAAGCGATTGTGAATTGATTTGTTCATCTGATCGATTAGTAAACACTTCCCACCACTGTGCCAGTCATCTTCTTGAAGCTTGGATCTAAGCAAGTGTCTAAAATCAATGCTTGTTATATATTTATCATAAGTTATGTTTTGTTTCAGAGATTGATGGAGGCCCCCCAATTTGAATTTTTTCTTGGGCCTCGTGAAGGCATAACTCGCCACCGACGCCATTATAAATACACCTGACCATTTGTTCTCGCTTCTTCGAAACTTTGTATTTGTAAAGACCGCACGACTAATGCAAATTAATAGGTTCGAGGTAAAACTGACGATGATTGATCGCGACCCATTTCTCCTTTAATTCACGAAGCTTTCACGCGCGTTGATTATGCGGGTTAAGTTAATTAGCATTCACTGGGCAGAGTCCTCTGTATAGCCATGCACTTTCCTTTTGGTTTAACATGGAAGTACGTTTGTTTTGCTTGGAAGTTTGCATGTAGTACGTGCTCCTATTGTATCGAACGAGTTAGAGCCCAGACGAATTAGACCTCGGACGTTTGCTATTCTTGTGACTTATTTGGTTGTTATTATATAGTAGGGCATTCCCAGATACTGTCAACTCAAAGAAAATAGTTCTTTATACGAAAATATTAATAAACATTTCATCACCAAATCTCTCTTGTTATCCTTGACTCCTTACTCCAGTAGACAATTTAGTTTCATACGGTGTAACGTGGTATAGTAATCAGTGGAAGTACCGATTTCTCGTGGACACAGCAGCTAAACTTTGCCTTCGAATCTAACCCCAAACCAGTAGAACCGGATTTCGGGAGAATATGTCCCCCAAGGCTTGAAAAAAGAAACGAGTAAAATGAAGAAGCATAGAAGAATTTCGATGGTACCTCGCGGTTCGATATTGCATGACGATCCTAACTCGTCTTAAAAAGCTGAACAATAAAGTACCGTGGATTTCTTACACGTGAGAAAGACGATGGTGGATCGAGCCTTGGGTTCCCATTAAAAGAAAGGTACGTTTAACAATCTTTCAGATCTTGCAGTTCCTGCGAAAATTGTACCATTATAATGTCTAAGGTGATGAAGCTCCAGAACGACTTACCACTGTGAAGTCAACGCAACAATACAAACGTCGGCGTACAGCGCTTGCTAATTGCATTCCCCTTTGAACGCCAGACTTTGAAGACACTTTAAGACCCGAAATAATTTGGAACTTTGCCCCATTCCATCGGGATGGGAGAGTATTAAATTCGTAAAGAAACTAGGACAAGGATATCAATTATAATCACCATGCTTACTAGTTAAGTAGCGTTGGGGAATGGTTACCATTATTCAATGGTCCTCGTATCCGTGGAATGATGTACCACTAATATTAGGGGGACGTCCTACGATGTAACTAGGACGTTCCAGAGACGTTCACATGACGTCCCGAACGTCCAGTACCCGACGTCCTATGGACGTTCACAGGACGTCCCGAACGTCCAGTACCCGACGTCCTATGGACGTACATAAGACGTCCCTGTGCTATCTGGGAATTGTAATAAGGCTTTTAGATTAAACGCCTCATGGAATTGTATTAATCTTCATCAATAAAAACTCCAACCTAAGAAAAAGAACATTGTCGACACCTACACCAACCCTACGCCAAAAGGACCAAAAATTCGAGGAACTCTACTCCATTTTGTTTCCTTTCGCAACGGAGCCACGAGGCGATCGTGACGCATTATACGACGCGATCGCTTCCGCGCACCCGGACCAGAACGGTGCACCGAGCACAGATCATGTATCGTGATCGACCTTACGATTCCAGGTGCATCGACCGTCCATTTCCTTGTCGGGGTGAAAAACAGGCGATCGTTCGCCTTTTGTGGTGGACAAGACGGAGCGAGACCAGGCGTAAAAGGGGAGCGCGCGAGAGGGACGGAGACCAATGGTTGTGTCCGCTCTGACCATTACTCTCCAGCCGCGTGTCGAAAATTTTTAAGGTCGACATAGTTCGCGATCCCTCGGAATACCAGGGAGAAGTTGCACCGGCATTCTCCAACGGCGTCGACGTCGGGACGGCGCCGTGTCGCGACGAACAGCGAACGGAACGCCGTTGGCCGATTGTGGCTACGCCGATGAGTTGGTCCCGTAACGGGGCTCGAACCACGGTCCGCTGCTCGCGTACTCGAAACCCATCGCTTCCTGTACCAACGACTTTTTTCTCGAGTGACCGGGGGCTTAATTAAATACCGGTGGACGGAGGCATCCGTGTCCTCCTCGCGCAGAGGGCTGCGCTTACGTGATGTTGCAACCGCGATTTTACCTTGCAAAGGACGGACACGAAAAGAGACGATACGACGATGCTCTTGCTTCTTTCTGGCAGAGCAAATTCTCCTCTGGATAGGAAATTTGAATTTATTTGGCGGATCAGAGTTATAGTCTAGCCGAATGGATTCATTAACCCTTTCCTGTGCCATTTAGCTCGTCGAAACTCGGGCACAAGCGGTAAGCATCGACGCGCGCTAAACAGACCAGACTGATGCTTGTAAACAATCGCAATACCCAAGTATCTCGTCGCGATATTCATGTTTGGGCCAAAATACAAGTTATTTTTAAAGGTACTGTTACAAATAATAAATCTTAATCAATAATCACCAATCCTTCCTTTATTTATTTAAATTGCCTTATTTGTTAGGTAAAGTATATTTCAAATAAAACCCTTAAAAGCGTTGGGAGCTGTCGATAACGAAATGGAAATAATATTCGGAGTGCAAAGGTTAAAACCTTTTAAGTGCACCATACTCCAAACAACAGCGCGCCTGGTGACGCTTACGCATCACAGACGCGTGTAGTATTAAAGGACCCGTTCCCATGAATGAGCGACCACGTGACGCGCAGCGGAGGGGATACGATGTAAGGGAGCGTGCGCGTAAAAAGCGCGCCAATGGTTTTACGCGCGACAGGCGCGCGTTCAGTGATAGGTCGACAGATGGCGGGGATGTCGCGTGGCGGCTGCTTGAAACACCTGACCGCTGCCTAGCAGTGCGGCATGGACTTGTGCGGCAGGCGCACACTTCTTTTAAAACAAGTAGCACGCGCGAACCCCCCGGCCAATTGTTTTGATTTTCGCATCCGTGATACGCGTTCGCTTACATGCACGCGAGTGACATCCGACGACAGTGCGATGGCCATCGACTAACAGCCCTTCGAAGGGACTCGAATCGCGGGGTCGTGGCGGGTGAGGACGAAACGAGGAGGATTCGCGAAGTTTCGCCGACCCAGAGTCTCTCAGCCGTGAACGTTGCACTCGTTTTCGTACGCGGTCCTGCGCGCGTAATAATTATGCCATTCGGTTTCGTTCATAACTCTCGTTCGATCGGTCGCAACACACTCGAGAAGAATGCGCCACTGATGGCCCGTGATTCCTTTTGCAATAACTCGCGATCGTCGGACCAATCAGTTGTTCATTGTTCGCGAACATGGATTAAGTCTCGCCTAACGTGCACCGCAGCGATCTCGAATTATCGATACCATCCGTAGATTTCGCGATGGTCTATTTTTCTTAATGGTGCGCGAGAGAACTGGCGTCGCTCACGCCACCCCGTGATTCGAACTTCCCGCTCCGAGCGCTCGACGATTTCGAGCTTTGGTTTTTCGAAGCGTCGATACGTCGCGGCTCGCGAAAATGTGATCGACAGCATTGTTCGTCGCGCGACGGATTTTTCGTGGCCGGTTAAGTGCGTCATTTCTCGCCACGATGACGGTGAATCTATCGGTGGTGACGATGGTGTTGATGCTGGTGACCACCGTGATCGTATTGGTGTACGGGAAGGATGTGACGACACTGGAGTACGACGACCTTCTTCCGGCGAACGAGACCAACGTCCGGCATCGCGTCGATACAGGTATTTGTTATTTTTTTTTTTTTACTCCTTTGTGCGTATCAAGCTTGGAGAATGTTTAACCTTTTAGAAGGCTTCGTTCTTCTGTGGTATTTAAATTATTCGAAAAATAATATACACAGTATGCTAGTTGAAGAAGGATTCTTGCTGGTTGTTCAGACAGTTTATTGTTGAAATGATTTTTAACATAATATAATATTACAATATAACATTAATGTCAGTTTACTAATAAGGTATTTTTCAAATAAATACCACCAAATTCTCGTAAAAATGATTACTGCTCATAAGAACGTTCACAACAAACAATTGCTATTGCTTACTCGATTCCTTCCATTCACGCGGCATTTTATCGTTGAGTTTCACATAAGATGTAACCATTAAATTTTTATGTAAATAGCAACTGTTGTTTATCATAACCATCGTTAGAAAACCCTAGTTTCTCAAAGAGGGATCAAAGATTTACTATGTTGTCCGCGCAGACGTTGATTTTATACGCGTCACGATTTGCATTGAATGTCACCGCTCATTTGAATGATCGAATGTGTCGTTTATGTTTCTTGCACAATGTGTGTCACGATGCTTCTATGAGATGTACGTCCTTATCGTTGGCGTTGTATTAGCAATGTTAATTAAGCCGTCTATTTTCTATAATACGTTTCCTATTTATCTATTCATTGGTATCTTTCACAAGTGCAACTCGTTAGGTATCTTATTTTACAAGAATGTTTGTTCATGCTTCTTGAGGAAAGTTATATACACAATTACGGTTGTTTTACTCTTTGCAAGCCAACACATTTTCAACCCCAATTAGACCTTCTTCAGCTACAAATTAGAAATAGCAATAATTTAGTGTTATTACAATTAGAGCAAGCCCACATTTGTTTCGCAAACACATGAAATTATAAATTTGATTAGGGTCAAGAGTTATTAGGGAAAATTGAATTGGTATTGTATTTTAATTTGAAAGAAAAGTTCGAGTTTATGTGCACCATTTTCTGTGATAAATTTCATAGTTTGGAAGTTTATAGCTTGAACTTTTATCGAAAAACGTTAGGAGTATTCTCAGTTTGGTTCATGGCAATTGTACTCCCTCGAAATCAGTACTATGACGGTGAATGCCTGAACTTTGTTACTCGTCTCGGATTTGCCGAGGAAGAATGACCTTTGCTCTAACGCTTCTGTGAAAGTATTATACGTTCGCCTGAGCGAGGCCTTGTGCCTATCCGAAGTTGTCTTCTAACGCACGCCTAGTTTCCACGGGGGGAAATTCAACTTTTTTCTTGGGTTTCTGGCACACCAATCGTTGCGTATGGTTGTAGATATTGTTAAACATTTCTCAATGAAACGTTCAAGTTCGTCCGCTTTACACTTTACAACGAGTAGCAAGATTTACGTACGTATTGTAATTATGTAGTAGAAATTATTTTACTGTGTTTGATTCTAATGCAATAGGAATATGCAAGCAATAAAATATGAAAGCAATAGTAATTAAAATTCCATTCAGGGCTGATCCGATGGAAGTTTGAGAAACGCTGATTTAACCCATCAGAGTGAATCTCGATTTGCACGAATTGTTTGCTCATAATTCGATGCAAAAGCGAAACGTGTTTGCAGGATGACTCGCTGTTCCACTCGGATTGACGAACAATGAACCCCGTTTGAACCGCATTGTCCCTGCTGCTCTGATAATTCGCGACGAGGTAACCGGCACCGAGCAACGTCCGTAGCAAAAGTTTGCATTACATAATTCCTAGCGAAACTCCTAGGTCGGTCGTTTCACTGCTCAGCTTTAATTGCGCGCATCTGCCTCGCGGGGGATCATTTGAATTTGCACGCTCGGTTACTTCGCGACACCCGTTGCACTCCGTTTCATTTCGCACGTAACCGATCGAGGGGACGTGTATCTTCGTTAGAAAACAAACATTTTGTGGAATGCTTTTCTCTATAAATTGAAGAAAAACTTTTTTAAGATTGTAAAAGAGGGTGTGCATTTTATAGAAACTTTTCTGTGGTTTATAGAAGAAGTTTTTGTTATTGAATTGTTGGTTGAATTCATTTAGTTAAATCAATAGAACATTCATAGTTGATTGCGTAGCTCCTGTGGTGTAGTAAAGTAATTAATATACAGTAATAGAGTAATTAATTAAAAGAGTACGCAATAAAACGAAGTGGAACTTGTATAGCGAATACATTTAAAGTACAGGAATCACTTATTAACAAAATTTGTCACAGAAAGCCTCAAACAAAAATGATTAATAAATCTTCATCATCACAAGTCCACTCCTTTGGCCCTCAGGGGCTGTAGCTATGTTTAATTGTAGCTACAGTACGGGTTTAGCAATCCCGAGGTACCCGAACTGTAGGTGGGCTAGTGGGTTTCAACAGACACGTAAGAAGTTAAGGATTGGTATAAAGAATTGATGTTAAGGATCCTCACTATAGAACCTCAAAATTAAGGAGACATATAAAACATTTTAATTCAAAAAATGATGTATTGGATAGTGTCATCAGTTGCCAACTCCGTACTTTAATAAAACAAAGAAAGAAAGTCCCCTCCTTTCGATTTTTTCCTTCTCAGTGAGATAATCATACAAGCTGCACGCTCTAACCGATCTCAGCTTGCCAGTTACGCAAGAAAAAACTCGATTTAGCAACAGAGGACTTAATCACCCTATAAAATAGAAATAAAGGAGAGCCCAAGTTTCCCACGACACCGAAGAATGCAATCGGTCGCCGTTCGATCGTCGTTGGACGACGTCCACCGGGTTTAATCGCGTTCGCCTAATTTACATTCGCTTAGAAAGGCGGAAATGCGTTTCTGCGCGTGCCGAACGAGGTGTCCCGTGTGCCAACTCGACGAACCCTCAAAGAGGTGTCTAACTGCGCGTGCAAATTACACGCGCCATCGCGCTTTCTATCAACGGCCAAACACTGGACGTTAGATCGTATTTGACGGTGGCCGTCGCTGGTCTCGCTGGACACGTTTTCCGATCGATTCGTCGGCGAATAATCGACGGAATTCTTTGCCCAAAGACGTCTGCCACGTACGTGGTCGTCGGTGCGAGACAATACAGGACGTGATGCAACGAGCGCGTGTCGAAACTTCGCGTTACAGCGGAGTCGATTCGGGGACACTCTAACCGAGTGATTATGAACAATCAAAATGTGTTCTGATTCGGTAAAAACGAAACCTCGACGTACACGCCTTGGCGTCGTTGCGATCGGACGCGGTCTATTGTTCTCAATTGCATTGTCAATCTCTTCCTGCATAGCGACCGACTTTGATCCACGGATGGATATCATTTTAGGCTCTTGGCTAGGGTGGCCTCCTTTTGGTCGTTTCGTATGTTTCGTAATTGGGGATTTCAGGCATAGTAACTCTTTCACGTGGAGAGGACTTGGATGATTATTTAAATCATGATGATTCAATTGTTAGGCCATATAGTTTCCTTGTTAAGATATAAAATTGAAGATAAATTTAAACATTTAAGGTTTCCTTGCCCATCAGGAGTTTCTACTAAAAGAAATCGAATTACTGAATAGAATTAAAATTGCAGAATAGAATTAAAAACCCTTGAGTAATCATCGCCACTTAGAATAATATTTCAACCTGTGGTTTAGGCTTTCTTCAGCATTATAACACTGACCATACAAGAATTAGACTCGACTAGGCGAGATCGTACAATAATCATACAATCAAAGTAAAAAAATACCTACAAGTGCTCACATTCAGTCGAAAGTTCAATTGGGGCTCCCGTAAACTTGAGAAGATAATGATCGTATCGACATCATTATCTCAGGCGATTAAAAAAATTCGCGTACAAAGGATAAACGGGTCAAACTCGTCGCGAGCTACTTTAAAATTTGCGCCAGTGTCTGGCACATCCGATGCATATGCATGCACCAACGATGGCAAACGCTGCCAACGTAGAATTCTTTTTCAACCTTGGTGCCAATGGTGGCTGTGTACGTGTCGAGCCTGTTGTTAAGAGGAAGGAATCGTGCCAACGTGGCCGAGGGTTAACAGTGCGAGGCTAATGCGCTCGCAGGATTTGTTTAACGGTACGGGATTTACGATTCGTTAACGTTATTTACGGTTCGGCGCGTGATCGTTAATAAATCACCGGGAACCACTTTGGGCAGGGTCCAGCGACAGTTACACGACACTGCTCTTTTTTTCTTTGTTTGTACCGGTTGGGTTATAATTAATTTCGTTTTTTGCTGTGTGGTCTGTTATCTTGGTATCAGTGAAGCTCGTACAAGGTCCTGATAAAGTGACCAAGGATGATTTCGTGGAATTTACAGTTATAAGATATTCGAGTATATCGTTCATAAAAATGCGAGGCTTCGTGTTCGGCTTTTTCGTGTTAAATTGTAGCAAATTAAACGTACCAAGGTGTTGGTTACGTTGTACAGGATTTATATATTTTTATAATTATATACACGCTAATGTATGTAATTATATAAATTTATAAATTAGCGAAAGATGTTCCCCCTTAAACAGTGAATTTTTAAGGGTTAAAGAGGTCTTGAGAATTTCCATGATCTATATATCCAAATTACTCCTTCAATTTTTTCGATCTCTCAATTATCCTTCGTACATAAAAAGTGAACATTATCCTCTAATTTTATTCTGTAAAAATCAACTTTATACTATGCATAAATGAATATTTAGCAGAACCGAATATAGAAGTAAAGTGAAAGACACACCGAGAAAGCGCCGCGTTGATAGTATACAGTGTCCAGTAACGTTTCTCGCGATTTGATAAGAAAACCTATGCGCAAGATCGCGAGCGCTTATCTATTTCCCCCGTACGCGAAGCTAGTTACACGCGAGAAACCAAATAGAATAAAAGGGCAGGTTTCGTGTCGGGAGTCTAGGAAGCCTTCGAAGATTAATGTACACGCAATGTTCGATGATCGAGAGAAATTTCATTAAGATTAACCCCGTCGCGCCGGATGATTCTTCTAATTCGCGAGCACACATGATTGCGTTGGTATAG